ACAGCCCAAGCAGGCACTAGGCTAAGCACTTAGTGCTGCTGATGCTCATTCACGCCACCGCTGGCCTTGTTTTCTAGTCTCTGCTTGGGCTGTGAAGCTGGGAAGACAGACAGATGCTGTTTTACTGTGCCTTGCATCTTCCTCCCTTGTGAATAAATGCCTTCTAGTGGGCCCATGTTTATTTTGCACCTTTACATTTACCTCCTGGCTGGACCATGTACCTCCTGCCTGACCGAAGCATTTAGTCATACCTCTTGGCTTAAGTGATAAAAACCAACGACGGATGGCATAGCACAAGATAACGAATGAAAGAATAGACCAATGTAGAAAGTTGCACAACAGCATAAGGCACTGAAAATATGGCCCCAGGTTCCGAACGCGATCTAACAAAGAGAACTACATCAGGGAAATCTAGTGAGGCAAGCGGAAGATAAGTACAGGTGTGCAGCAACTTTGTAACAGGCTGATACAGGGAAGTATTTACATGCGCCTCCTACACGCCCCAATCCATGCTGCTCTCCACCTTCCGCTTCCCCTTGAAACTCCCTGCTGCTCACCGAAAGGTTGAATGGAGTGCAGGGAATGTAGAAATGGAATGGATGGATACACAATTGAGCAACGGCTGTTGCAAAGGCCGCATTTACATGTGGCCTGCCTCCTACACGCCCCAGTCCATGCTGCTCTCCACCTTCCGCTTCCCCTTGAAACTCCCTGCTGCGCAAACACAGGTCGAATGGAGCATAGGGAATACACACACAGTAGGATACACACCCTGAGCAAGGGAGGGATGCAAGATGCTTGAAATGCAGTCACAGCACAATAGGGAGGGAAGGACCCACCTCACCTCACTCGTAACCCCCCCTATCACCTCACTCATCTCCCCTCTCCTCCAATCACCTCCTCTCCTCTTGGTACCACGCTCCCTGCCGCCAGCCTGCACAGCACCGCTCTTGCTCCTCAACCCGTTCCATCAACCTGCCCCCTGACCCTGGTCTTTGAGTCAACTAAATCTCACCTCCTTTTTCCTTACCAACACGCTCCATGCTCCCGGGCAGCACATGACAGCTGTTGCTCCTCCCACTCTTTCCATCAACCTGCAGTGTCCTTCAATCACTCACCTCCTCTTTCAGCAACACGCTCCTTGCTGCCAGTCTGCCCATGCTGGCTCTTCCCACCCACTCCATCAGCCTGCCTCCTGTCGTTGCCTCCACCTACACCCCTGCCATAGCCTTTACTTCTGTTCCTATTCCACTCCCCATCCTGCTCTGCATCCCTGCCGTTCCCTCTCCCTCTTCCCCTGCCAGTCTCTCTCCTCCTCTTCCCATGGTTCTCCTCCTCCTCATGGTCTTCCATATCTCTCTCTTCCTCTCCACTTTCTCCTCCTCCACTCTCCCACTCCCAATCTCTGTCTCTGTCCCTGTCTATGCCACTGTTCATTCGTCTCTCTCTGCTTCCCTCTCCATCTCTGCATCTCCTCTTACCGCCCTCCCAAGCCTCCTCTGCACCCACAAAACCCTGTCTATGGTCAACAATATTCAGGATGCCTGCTCCGGACGAACCCCTGGCCTGCTCCCGAACCTGCCCCCGAGCCTCCATCCCCATGGCTCTTGCTGGTTCGGAAAAGCCTCGGCCAGAAGGTGACTCCCGGGCAGAAAGGCGGGCATGAGGGCTGTGATTGACTGACGGCTGCCCGGAAAATGCGCGTGTGGAACTAAGCTGCCTTGTAACCGCAGGGCTGGTGGTAACAGCGGCTCTGCTGGTTGCCCGTGCAGCTGGGGAGGAGGAGAGCGAGGAGAGCGAGGAGGGTCTGTGTGTGTATGAGCGGGGCGGGGAGTAGTTGAGAGGTTTCTTCTTGATATCTGACACTAGCCGTGCCTGCACACTGCAAGGTGATACGGAGGGGAGAATGGGAGGGAGGATGGGGGAAGGAGAGGGGGAGGAGGAGGGAGGCGGGGGGAGGAGAGGGGGAGGGGGGAGGAGGAGAGGGGGGGAGCGGGGGAGGGGGGTCGGAGGGGAGGAGGGGAGGGGGGGAGGAGGGGAAGGGGGGAGGCGGGGACATGTGGGATGAGACAGGGAAGACAACCTATGCATGTGAGAGTATCAAATCAAACAATTGGCTGAGAATGATAAGTCCCCAGACCCATCCACGAAGACGCCACGTCCCGCCCACCTGTTAGCATATCCCAGGCGAGCCTTCTTGAGCATAGAGCTGCCTGCCTTGTTCGCCCAGGCTGCTGCTTGAGAGGAGGGCCCTGCAGAGACAGAAGCGGGTGAGGGGGAGTGACAGAGGGACAGTGAGGTTTGAGGGGAGAGATGAAGGGAAAGTGAGGGGTGGGGGAGAGTGAGACAGCGAGGGGCGAGGGGAGAGACAAACAGGGAAAGTGTGATAGACGGCTTATGATTGCAAGACCGCAGCATCAGATTTTATGATAATGACCACCAGTTATGACATACCTGATCGGCAGATCCAAAAACCGAAGAGAAAAAACACCTGAAATACCTGATAGCACACCTGAGGAGAACATTCTCCTGCGTGTGACTGAGAGGCGCGGCTTCTCGAGCACCTGCAGCCGCCGCTGCTTTTTCACTGGCGGAAGCAAGACGTGGGGGAAGAGGTGACAGCAGGCGAAGGAAGAATGGTCGTAAGTGACAACGAACGAGGAAGACGGATACACGTCGAAAACGGCAAGCAAACCCATGGTCAGAGGAAAACCTGTTAGCCGGAAGGAGCAAAAAACAGATGCTGAATGAAGGCTGGTTAAACAGGAGAAATTTCATCGAACGTGGTTTAAAACTATCTGATGCCGTTTGAGTCTTGCCGAGCAATCTCTAATCCTTGAAAGCACTGCTCAGCTTGTTTAACGGCGTCTCACCCGCATCCGCGTTTACCCAAACCTTTGTACCTTCCTCTGCCCGGTGATAAAGCTCTTTCAACCGCGAAACACACTTCTGCTGCGTGCGATCATCTGCCTGCTGCCGAGCCTGATGTGTGGACGGCAGAGGGAAGAGGGATGGAATGAGATGAAGTGCAGCGGGGAGGGAGAGGTTTCAGTGGTTCCAAAGCGTGCGTGTGGAAAATTGTGGGAAAGCAGCAGAGTTTTCATGCCCATGACCTGCGCCCAGAACCAAACCAAAGTTTCTGAGGCCTGAGCTTACATGGTACAGCTGGCGCCACGTGTAGAGTACTTTTGCTTGCTTCATTCTGTCCTGAACCTGCTCCACGCCATCAATGCCGTACCTGCATCATGGGTCATGGTTGATGGGTCATGCATGGGTGATGAGAAATAGGTGATGGTTGATGGGTGATGGCTCATGGTTGATTGGACATTGTCAAGCCGGGGAGAACATGGAAATGCACGAAAGCGAAGGACGGGGAGGAGGAAAAAAGGCGGAGAGTCTAGGCGAGCACACCTGCGTTCGTAGCACCGCTCCCAGAGGTCGTCTGTGAAAGGGGTGAAGTCACGATCCTGAACAAGAAACCGGGAACAAGCAGGGAAAGTGATAGCAGTTCTGTCGTTAAAACGGTACAGGGATAGCATCTTAACTGAGTCCAGTGCTGGCAAATGCATTTCGACCTGATTATAGTTCAATCATAAATAGGCAATGAATCCGCGCTACAGTGCTCGAACAGGGTACTACGCAGATGAGGGAGGGCTGCAGAACGCAAACTGCTCTTTTGAGATTGACCTTATTTTCGTTCTCAATCCGGTCCAGTTGATCCGCCGTGCAGTGTTCGAACACGGGTCGCAGCAACGACAGGTCCATGTCGCCGAGGTCGCCCAGCAGGTCGCGATGGTCGATCAGCGACAACACGCACAGCGTCGCCAACGACTCCACCGCCATTTCGTCGCATGCGAAGAAAAGATTAACGGTCAATTGAAGCTAAGTGGTTAGATGAAGGTAAGCGGTGTTATAACGAGGCTGAGCTGTCTTATCTCGAGGCCAAGCGGTCTAATGAACTAAGCGGTATTCTACTGGAAACAAATGGTCTTACGATGAATTCAGACGGTACTCCAGCAATCGATCACTAAACCACGTGGTGTAACCCAATAAGATAGGAAGTAATAAGGAGAACACAGGACGCTGGGAGCTGCGATGAAAGAACCTAGGTCGAGATCCCAACAACGACGCACAACGTCTTGCTGCTAGTGCAGCGTCTTTCATTAAAAAAAAAAACTGGAAACCTAATCAAATGCTCCTGAATCTATAGAAATTGTATAACTGCGACCTATTGGAGTCGTCCTATGCACCCTAATCATCACAATCCACCCTTGGTCCTCCTGAATTCAAATAAAGACGTCTCTGACTCAACTCCCATAATAACCCAACTATTTATTGCACTCAGATTCTGCAAAGAGTCACTAATGTCATGCCTCGGCATTCGGCCTTGAGAATGCCCAACTCATATCGCCCTAACTGAATGCATACAGAGTCCTGCCGCCTTCATCAAATATTGCTGAAAGCTCTAATTTCCGACTTTTTTTGGACCTCAATGGAAGGTTGCGCGGGAACTCTGAACACAGGGATTTTCATCAGGTCGCCTGACACTTTCGTCGACGACTGTTGTAACAAGCAGGATTTTGTCGCATTGAGTTCGTCCATTCACTCAGCTCCCAAGTGGGCTGTTCAAACTGTGTTTTGCACTTTCGCGGTATCAACGAAGCAGAGTAGCCTGGGACGATTATTTCGTCAAAACATATTTGTTTCGGCAAAGGCGAACGCTCAGGAGAAAACACCAGCAGGACTCCCGTTGGCGAGGTTTGTTGTTCCCAACCTTGATGTAAAACTGGGCCTGCATTTCCCCCAATCTTGTACTTGTTCTGTTGGCATTTCCTTCGGCCTTACCATTTCCTTTTTTACCTTCACTGAGATTTCACCACCGCACCATGCGCATTTTTTCTGTTTCGTCGTCTGCTTTCTATCTAACCCTTCTCCTCCTCCTCCCCCTGTTCGCGCCGCCGTTATTCGCGCACGAATGTCCGTCGTTACAATGCGGAATGATGCGGCGAGGGTACATCTGGGACCACGACGCGTTGGGTAACCTGGACGAGCAGGAGATTAACGACGAGACGCAGAAAGTTCAGGCGTGCGCGATGCTGTGCGCCGCCACGCCGGAGTGCTACATCTGGCAGCTGAGAGTGGTGGAGGAAGGAGGTGAGGATCCATCTAGGTCGAACCATCTGGTGAAACACCATACAAGGTGAATGTTGAGTCGACTGATAGCTCACGCCGGAGTGCTTCATCTGGCAGCTGAGAGTGGTGGAGGAAGGAGGTAAGGAGGATTCACCTAGGTCAAACACAAACACACTGGTGAAACACCCCGACAACGGCTCCCTGGTGAATCATGCCTGCATATTTTTCACTGTCCCTGAATCTCCACGCAGCCACCCTTTCTTGGCACCCTCTGACTCAAAAGTCACCTGGTGAAACACCCGGATAACGGCTCCCTGATGAATCATGCCTGCCATATTTCTCGTTACTGTCCCTGAATCTTCACGCAGCCACCCTTTCTTGGCACCCTCTGCGCCGTTCAGACTAGCTCGCACTGCATTGGATAACAGTTCAACGTCTGCAAAACAAGGACGGGAGACAGGAGGAGCATAGCCCATGCCTGACCAACCCTGACACCCCCAAATCTGCTCCACACACCTCTTTTCCCTGCTCCCCTTTCATCCTTCTCCCGTCCAGCCTTCTGCTGCATGTGGCGGGAGGATCAGAGCCCTTACCTGGTTGACCCGTCGGATGGTGCCAACCCCATCCACTACATCCCCCCCCCCCAACGCCTCACCCTCCCAACCCAACCCCCCACCCCACCCTCCAGCTTTTTGTCGCATGTGGCGGGAGGAGCAGAGCCCATGCCTGGCAGACCCGTCAGACGGCGCCAACCCCATCCACTACAACCCCACGCCCCCCTGGAAGGGCGTGTTCGGCTTCGGGGGCGGGTGCAACCGCAGCAAGCGGGGCCGAGGCACAGAGAGCACCGCAGCAGGGCAGGGGGGCGCCGGGGGGAATGCTACAGTGGTGGCAGGAGGGAGGGGTGGGAATGGGAGTGTGGCAAATGGGGGAAGGGATGGGCGGACGCGGCAGCAGGGGTATGAGGGGAAGCAGCAGGAGCTGGAAGCACAGCAGCTGGTGCCGCAGGCGCACGCACAGGGGGCAGGAGGGAGGCTACCAATGCTGACAGTGGAAGGAACGGCTGGGGTGAAAACAGGTATTGGATATGGCATGCGTGTCTGAATGTGCCTGTTAATGCGCTTTTTGTAAAGCACTGCAGTGATTGCTAGCTGATTGCCACATTCATTCCCCATCACAAGCTTGACCTGTTTCTTGCCCCGTTCTATGTGTGCCAACCCTTGTGCCTATCCCTGTGCCCTCCTATCTGCCAGACCCCAATGCCACAGCCGCATGCCCCGATCTCATGTGCAATGTGGCAATCAAAGGTATCTTCTTTGACCATGAGGGGAAGGGCCATCTGGGGGAGAACACAACTGGCCCGGCCAACCGTGCCCATAGCTGCTGGATCATCTGCCGGAAGACCGAGGGCTGTGCGTTTTGGAGTTATCATCGGGAGAAGCCAGAAGGTCAGGAATAACATGAATTAATGTTCTTCGGTACCTCTTCTCTTATATTAAACCACATTGCATCCTTCGTTGCTTGTTTTTGTGTTTTGTATTTTTTTCTCACTGGGTTTATTTTGTCAGGTCGTTGTACAATGTGGAGTGAGCAGCAAGACCCCTGCAAGCCTGCGGACCCCAGTGACCCTACAACTGCACGCTACCGGCCCTGGCCAGATAGAGAATACCTTGTTGGCGGGCACTGTAAAGGTGGGGCCACGCCTTTTGGCCATGTAGTGCGTCGCAAAGGCCCTTAGCAGCATATGTATTGAATATAGATTGTTTGTGTATGTTTTGACTGATGTAACACTACTTGTCGCCTTTGTGTTCGCAGTCTCGCAGTCAACGCTTGTGAAATTTGTGCACACCTTCGCGTCACCTTCGTTGATGCTGCCCTTCAAGGGCTGCGAGCGAAATGTGTCGTTGTCGTCACGTTTGTCGTCTGTGGCGGGGATCGCGAATCACGACATCCATTTTGGGAAAAAACGACAAGATCCATCCATCCTAGGACCCCGCGCGTCACCGTCGGGTCACCGGATGGCGCGTTGCACGCACCGCGCACCGCACGACCCCCAATCGCAAGGGAGCGAAATTGCTCGGGGCCCACCCGTTACTGTACTAGCTCCCCTGACTGGACAGTCACCCCCCCTTCTGCTGCAGCTGCGCGTGCGTCATCCAGCTGCGCCCAGGGGGGAATGAAACTTGAAAACCGTCCCCCAGCTCTGCCCGAGCCAGAGAGAGAAATCCATAAATAGGGGAGCTGGGTTGTAAATTGTTCATAAAAAAATCCGCTACTTTCGCTACTGATATTTGCCAGCAGAGCAATCCTCGATTCTCCTAGCATATTCGCGAAGTTTCTCGACTAGTCTGACCTTGCAGAGCGCGTCTATTTGTCTACTCCACGCAAAATTATAAAGGAGGACGCTACCCTTTCCACCAATCGACTACCCTAGTAGTACCACTACTATACTACCTGCATTCTTGGGCATATGCTCTGATATGAGTCTCTCACTATCTCCTCCCAACTCCCTTGGAACGTCGACCCGCCCTCCGCCACTACTCTCTCCTAAACGAAAGCTCGCCGAGCTTTTAGGCAGAACGAACCATTCGTCACCCCTCCTTTCCACGTCTCCACCACTCCTTTCCAAGTCTCCCTTTCCTTCCACGTCACCGCTCCTTTCCACATCACCGTTCCCCTCCACGCCTCCATCCGCAGCATCCAGCCCGTCGCTGCTCGCGCGCGAGACGTCCTTCGATTCTGAGTCACCGCTAATGAAACGACCATGTGCGCGTAATATCAGCGGGTCGCATCGCACATCGCCTAGTTCTGCCTTCCGAGACAGTCGCGCACTCGCTATTGGCAGCGGTTGCGACACGCCCCCTGTTCTCGTGCTCGAAAGAGACGGTGAGGAGGACGACGGCATTCCCTCGCCGCACCCGAAGCTAGCATTTCCCAGGGGTGGAGCGCAATGCAACCGCAATCGTCGTTACAAGGGCGTGCGACAGCGAAAATGGGGCAAGTGGGTAACTGAGATTCGCGACCCTCGCACGAAGATTCGCGTGTGGCTGGGATCGTACGAAACCGCGGAGGAAGCAGCGCGAGTGTATGATATGGCGGCGCGGATAATAGGGGGAGGCCGCGGAGGCGCCGCCTGCGGAAAGCTCAACTTCCCCGACGAGGCGCATCCCGTCGCCGTTCCGCGCGCCATTGCGGAAGCGCTGATCCGCACCGTGCGCGAAAGCAGAGCCCAGTGCGCTGCAGATGTCGCAGGGGGCGAGCGCCTCGTCGTCGCAGGCGACGCCGCGGACGACGGGAGCGACGCGCGCGAGGGCGCGTGCGACCTGCCTGCGAGTTTCTCGAGCGACGTGGTCCGTCTCGAGGCCGTGGGCGGCAGCGTGGTTGTGGCGGAGTGTCCCCCTGCGGCGTCAGTGGCGCCGCTTGGAGTGATCTCCGGTGACAGGGGGCAGCAGATGGTGTTGCTTGGTCCCACTGGCGTTGACGGCGGGATGGAGCAGCCGCAACAGACGCAGCAGACGCAGCAGCAGCGGCCCCTGCAGCAGCAGATACAGCAGCACACACAGCAGCAGATGCAGCAGAGTCAGCAATCACAGCAGCAGCAAGGAGGGGGAGTTGGGGACCCTGCAAGGGCACCAACCACAGGCTTCACACTCCACACGCCCTCAGCACTCACTCCCAAGCAGGAGATGCCTGCTATCAGCCTCCAGCCATGGCTGGATCAGAGCGTAAACGCAGCGGCCCCGACGACGCAGTTCCAACCAAGTAATCCTGTGGGAGTGTCCGATCCACTTCTAGGAAGGCAAAATTCGTCAAACATTGGTGGTTGCGGTGCTGCCAGTAATGTTAATAGCGGTTGTCCTGGAAGCGAGATTGCGTGGGAGTTTGAAGGCGGCAAATTGAAGGTTGCAGTTGTGAAGGAGGAGGCGCAGACTATCCCATACCTGGACACCAAAATGCTACTTGACATGAAGCCGAGTGCTCCTGAGAAACCACGTGGTGCTGAGAGGCCACGTGCCTCCATGGGCCAATCCACCCCTTGGGAACTGTCAATTCCTGTGCACCCATTGGCCGGAGGGAGTGGTGCAGATCCCGAGTCTCCCAGAAGCCCTTCCAGCAGCAGCAGCAGCAGCGCCAGCGATTTGTCGTCTGCCGGACACTCCCTTTCGGCCGCGACCTCCGATGTACTGGACGGTGATACTCTTCAACATGTCTCCACACAGCCTACAGACGAGAGCCACAGCCTTCCAGCCAGTGCTGATTCTGTGCTGGCATGCCAGGCACAGGTGGACATGCTGACAGACATCATGAACCTGCTGGATGAGCACTTGCCGGCCAGGCTCACTTCTCTGACGGATTCCGGCAGATCTGACGGCCAGTTAGATGGAACTCCTGAGGGTGGTGCTGCTGCGCAGGAGGCTATTCTCTGGGCTCTGGCACATACTCAGGGGGCTCCAGCTGGGCGACAATCCCAAGGGATGGGTGCACCTGAGTCCATGGCTTGCCCTGCTGGGTTGTTGGCACGGGAGGTGTGTGAGGGTGAGGCGGAGCTGGTGAATGTGTCGCCATGGGGTTTGTCACCAGCAGCTGTTGGGTTCGACCTCTGGAGCTGAAGATATATTTTGAAGCAGCTCAAGTATAGAGTTTGCTGGTCTGGTATTTTGGTCGGAATTTATTGTCTGTCTCCTAGTTATGTCACGCGGTGGCCAGCCATCATGATTGCTCGTTGGCATTGCCCCATTACAGCTTTGTTTATATGGTAGGTGGGTGTACTACACGGCAATCATGATGCCTGGCCACGGCAATCAAGGCAATCTGTTTCTGATTGAAATATATGCTATCTTAGGGTGTTTCTGTTTGTTGTATATTTGAGTCAACAAAAATCAAAACGTCTTCTCGGGGTTCTAACCAGCACTGTAGATGCGAATTTACCCATGTTATTCCCGCGTCGTATAGGGATTCCTGAGAGCTGTTTCAGGTTGCTGCTGACTTGCACTAAAGGTTTTCCAGTACAGCCTCCTGTATCTAACCAGATCGATTAGGGTTTTCTCAGTTAGCTCAAGCTTCCCGCGTCCATCTAACGATTATGCGCATTTCTCGGTTAAAACTGACCTTACTTCCTAACACCTGACACTTTACAGCTGATGACACCTGTAGCAGTTTCTACCTGTTAGAGCGGTCGTCTCGTTAACTTACGAAGCGAGAGACTTGAAGAGACTTCCACCTCGGAATCCTCCAATAGTTTTGTGGCTTATGTAATTTCTAACATTAGCTACTTATTTCACTTATATCGGCGCAATACTTTTTTATATCGATTGTTCGCACAACGCGGACATGGAGTCGGGCGCACCTCACACTAACAATTTTCCTTTCCACTCCGCCTCTTTCCCCATGCCGCCGGGAGAATCCCCCCGGTCCTTCCGCCACCCGCCCTCGCGCAACGGCAGCGCGGGCGGCGATATGAGCTCCGAGCCTCCCCCATTCTCGGAACACAACCCGTACCAGCCCCACCTCCCCCACTACGCGACAAACGCGCGCCAGCCGTCATCGCTTAGATTCTCCTTTGACAATAAATGCGCGCTCGGCGCAAGGCAGGAAGACTCGGGGGAGGGGCCCGCGGGGAACGCGGAGACTGCGCGGAGAGTAGGCGGAGGAGTTGACGGGGAGGGGGGTTGGGGGGAGGATGGGGAAGCTGCGCAAAGGCGGCACAATAATACAGGCGCATATCCCGCGCAGGGGTTTGGCGGAAGCTTTGGCGGAAGCGGAGGTCCGCAGCCCGCGGGCCTCTATCAGGCGCAGTTTTATGGCGAGTTCCGCCAACAGGGGAACCTGCGCAACCAGAACGGGGGGAACTGGCGGGGAGGGGAAGGCGGGCTGGTGCGGGAGGGTCAGGCGGAAGGACAGCCGGAAGGGCAGGCGGAGAACAGTAAGAGTGTCCCCCTGGGGAGGTGGAGCCCAGGTGAACGCGCAGATTTCGGACCTGTCTCAGGTAATTACTCAGGTGCTCCAACAGGGTATGCCAACAGAGAGCCGTCAGATGCTTATGAGGGACTGAGACAGAATTACCCTTTGGATGGGGCTAGAAGGCGAGTTAACCCTCAGTTTGACCAGGAGATGGGGGAAGAAGACGACGAAGCAGGCGAGGAGGATGGAGGAGAAGGAGAAGGAGAGGAAGGAGAAGAGGAGAGGGATGGGGGTGGTGGTGTAAGTGAGGAGAGAGGAGAAGGCGGGCGAACGGGACCAGGGGGAGAGAGGGAGTGGGACGAGGAGACGTTTCGGCTACGCAACAGTAGACTCACTGACAACCAGCAAACTGACAATCGACCCTCTGACCATGGTCACACTGATCACACCGGCATCCAGTTTCCGTTTCCCTCAGGCGCCGATGCCCAGCCTGTCAGAAATCTCACACCCAACAATCTGTTTAGCATGTACCGATCGCTGCTCTCTCAGACGCACTATCGCGTACAGCAGGAGGAGCAAGGCGCTGGGTCGTTCCGGGATAGCGGTGGGGGGGTGGACGCGACAGCGGGCAGTGCCGGTGCCAGTGATCCTGCTTTTGCTGCTGCCGCTGAAGCTGCCGCCGCTGCTGCTGCAGCTGCTGGCAGTCCGTCAGGTGCTGTTGGTGTTGGTGGGGGCAGGGGAGCGAGAGGAGGAGTAGTAAGAGGAAGGATAGGGGTTGGGTTGTATGAGAGAGTAGGAGCCCAGCCTGGGCCGAGCCTGGGCTATGGTGACTCAGCGTTCTTCGGATCCACGTCAGTGTCTGTGCTTCCCGAGCCTCCCTCCACAGCCTCGGAGGAAGCTGCAGATTGGGCCGCAGCTGCGGCTGCCGCAGCAGCACGGCAGGCTTGGGAGCACGTGGGCACGGTCCCTGTAGCGACGGGCACTGTTCCTGTAGCTGGAGGTAACAATAGCGAATGGGAGGCGCAGAGCAATAGCAGCAACTCCGCCCCTCCCCCTTTGCCGCCTGGCTATGTGTCTAGCGAGAGCAGAGGGGGAGGCGGAGATGGGAGAGGGGCGGAGGGGCAGGGAGAGGAGGTGGTATGGCGAGGGGAAAGGAGGCTTGGGGGGGAGTCTGGGGGTGAGGTTGGGGGAGTGAGTAGGGATGGGGGTTTGAGAGGGGAGGAGCGGTCAACGTTGAATGATTATGCCATGGTGCCTTCTGCAGGAGGGGGAGCAATGGGAGGAGGAGGCGGTGGGACGGGAAGAGGTGGTGTGCGTGTAACGGGTGTGGGCCAGAGGTTTGTGGCTCAGAGCAACAGAGACTTCGCAGCAGCAGAAGCAGCAGCAGCGACAGCAGCAGTGGCAGCAGCAAGGGCAGCAGCAGAGGAAGCGGCCGTTCCTGATGCCCCTCCCCCAGCAGCAAGCGGCGAGATCAGCAAGTACGAGGAACCTTCCAGCAGCCTGCAGATAAGCGCGGGGGGGAATGGGGGCACAAGAGGGGAGAATGCAGGCATGGGCGCAGCAGAGAACACCGGCCAGCAGCAGAGGTTCAGTGTGAGGGGGGGGCCTGGGGGGGATGCAGTAGGGGCAGGAGCAGGGGGGTATGTGGGAGGTGGAGTGAGGATGAGTATGGGTGGTGGGGGGTTCGGTCCGTTTGGGTTGAGACCCAAGAGACCTGAGGTGAGTGGGGATGTTGCTTCTATTTGGCTCAACCGGTGGTTGCGACCCCCCACTGCTGCTGCTGGCGGCGGTGGTGTCGGTGCTGGTGCTGGTGTTGCTCAGGAGAATCCTCTGTCTCTCCCTGTGTCAGGTGAATTTCCAGGTGGTGGGTCTGTTTCAGGTAGTGCCAGTCAAGGCGAGCCTCTGCTGTTGGCGCAGGCGCCTGCTTCGAGGGGAGCGAGTCAAGAAGGGCAGCAGCAGGGGATGCAGCAGCAGCAGGAGCAGGAGGAGCAGGAGCAGGAGGAGTGGAAGCAGCGGGAGCGAGAGCGACAACAGGAGTGGCTGCAGCAGCAGCAGCGGCTGCAGCAGCAGTGGCAGCTGCAAACCAGCACCTCAGCCGAGCCTCCTCCTTCGGACTCAGAACCCCCTAGAGACTCTGATTATTCCGCTGCTGGCGGTGGAAATGCCGATGCCGACGCCAGTGTTGATGCTAGTGTCGATGCGGCAGCTTTAGCAGCAGCTGTAGCGGAAGCAGAGGCGGCGAGGCGTCGGTTTGAGAGGGGGCGAGTGGCCATGCAGAGCTGGAAGAGCAAGAGCAGACCCGCTATTGCTCACACAGGAGCAGCAGCAGGCGCAGGAGAAGGAGCAGCAGCAGCAGCGGGTGGGGTGGTAGGGGAGGGAATCGCACGGGACAGCTCAGCACTGCGAGTGGCTGCGATTGAAAATGACGTGGCAGCTTGGTCTGCCTTGCTGGCAGAGAGGGGTGGAGGCGGAGGAAGAGGAGGAGGAGGAAGAGGGGGAGGAGGAGCAGCAGTGGCAGCAGCGAGTGATGCAGGGAGCAGCGGCAGTCATGAACAGCAGGCATATCAAACCCTCCAGCAGCATGAGCTGGAGATCCAATCCCACCGCGACCAGCAGCGCGCAGCAGCAGGGAGTGCACTGTTCGCCCCACACTCTTCCCTCCACAGCCAGCAGAACCTGCACGCTCTCTCCATCCACCCCCCCTCTCACTCTCACTCTCGCTCCTCTGCCACTAGGAGCTTTGGAGGGTCGTCCTCCCACTCGCCCGCTCCTCCCTCCCCACCTGTCAGGGGCGCAGGGCCAGAGGGTCTTGAGAGAGTGGCGGAGGGAGGAATTGGAGCAGAAGGAGGGGTAAGAGGAGGAGGAGGGGGAGCGAGGGGATTTGGGGCGTTTGGGTCGGGCTTTGGTGGTGTGGGCCGAGGGTCGGGAGGTGGCAGGCTTGGGGCGTTAAGATCAGGAATGGTAGAAGCGGGAAGAGGAAGGGGAGGAGGAGGAGGGGGCCAAGGAGGGAGAGGAGGAGCAGGAGGAGGAGGAGCGAGCGAGGCAGCATCAGGGGGGCCTGTGTTTGTGAATACAAGGCGGACAGAGGAGTATCAAAAGCTACACCAGTCCTCTAGCACTCTCAAGCCACCAGGCCACCCTCCTGTCTCTCCGTCCGGATTCGCTGCATTTGGAATGCGGGTTTCTGCAGCTGAGAGCGTCAGCGGCAAGCTCAGGTCGCTCCGAGCCGGAGGGCTAAGTCCGGCAGCGGCAGGTCCGGGAGGAGCCGGAGCCAAGCCGGGTGTTGCGCGTGCAGGTTCGGGGTTCAGCCTTAGTGCAGCAGCAGCTGCGGACGCTCTTACCAATGCTGCTGCTGCTGCTGCTGGCCTTGGTCCTGCTGGTGCTGCCAGTAACGTTGATGCTGCCGTTACTGCTGCTGGTCGCAGGCTAACTAGAGTGGGCAGTGAGGGTGCACGTGCTACTGGTGCTACCTTGCCTCGTCTTGGCAGCGGGGGTGGTGGCGGGGGTGGTGGAGGGGGTGGGTTCACGTGGATTCAGGGAGGGTTTGTGCGGCGAGAAGGCTCAGCTAGCCCCGCTGCTAGTGCTGGTAGCGGCGGTGCAGCGGCTGTAGCGGCTGGTGGTGGTAACAGTGCTGACAGTGGTGGGGGTGGCAACATGGGATACGATTTTGGATACGACATGGGGTAGTGCCTGTTACCCCAAGCACCGGAAACAAGGCTCAACAAGGCTCAACAAGGGACCAGAAACAAGGCCAGTGATTTGCAGCAGTAACGACTCCCATTCCCATTGATTATCCAAATTACATTCAACTTGATACAACGTGCCAAAGAGTCAACCCTGTGCTAGTCACACTGCAGCGGATATCCGCACAGTAGCTGCTCCTCCCTCTGCACCAGACACCCGACTCAACTCAAAGCACCTTCCATCAAGTTGAATGAGCTTGCAGCCGGCAGCCGTCTCTCACTTCCGCTCCCCACATGGTGATCCCCCAGCAACCCCCATCTTGCACTGCCCTGAACATTGCTGGGCTGGCAGTGCCAGGGGATGAGAAGGAAGATGATGAGTTTACTGCAGGAAGGCAACGAGATTCTGCCGCGCGTTGAGGTAGAGGAAGAGGGGGAGAGGAGCGGATGGGGAGGAGGAGGAGCGGGCGGAGATGCGGGCGAGGAGGGACGAGGCAAGGTCAGCAGAGAGGCGAGTCTCTCCCACCATCGCATACACACTTGCTGCAGCTGCTCCAGCAGCACCAGCAGCACCAGCAGCACCAATGTTTACCCCAACATTGGCATCAACTGCAGCCTTCACCCAAGCACCAGGAAGGACAACCAGGGGAGACAGAACCGAAGGCACCGAGCCAAGAGCCGAGCCTGCTGCTTTCCCTGCCGAGCCGGCCACCTTGCCCACTGTGCCAATCACCGAACCTGCAGCATTGCCCACCGAGCCTACCACCGAGCCTGCAACCTTCCCTGCCGAACCAACCACGCTCCCCACTGCTCCACCTGCGCCAGAGATAACCCCACCAATCCCTGAGACAACGCCAGCGGGGTTGAGGTCAAGGTTCGTGGAGCCTCCGAGGTTGGCTTGGACGCCTCCCGAGCCTGCGTTGACACCGGCACCAACGTCAGCAGACGTGTTGAGCAGACCGGAGGAAGCAGCAAGAGAACCGGACCCAGAGACTGTGCCATTGGGAAGGGAGATGGTTGCACCAGCGCCGGCCCGAGCAGATGTGTTGAGCAGACCGGTGGAGGCAGAGAGAGAGCCGGAGCCAGAGAGAGTGGCGTTGGGGAGTGATGCATGGGCACCACCGCTGGCGGTGGCCGAAGTGTTGAGGAGAGCAGTAGAGGCTGCGACAAATCCTGAGCCTGAAGCAGTGGCTTTGGGGAGGGAGGCGTCAGTGCTGCCGGCTGCTGTAGCTCCGGTGTTGAGAAGGCTGGTGGAGGCTGAGAGACCCCCCGCGGTGGAAACCGATCCGTCTGGGTTAAGAGCGGTGCCGGCGCCAGCAGTGGTGGACGCAGAGAGGGAGGAGTTGGGGAGAGAGGCGGAGGCGGAGAGGGAGTTGGAGGTGGTAAGGCCGGTGGTGGGGGAGAGGGAGGCATCGGCAGTGGTGGAGGCAGAGAGGGAGGAGTTGAGGAGGTTGGTGGTGGTGGTGGTGGTGAGAGAGCCGGAGCCGGTGGCTCCTGTGGAGGGAGAGAGGGAGGCATGCAGTGATCCGTCTCCGGATAGGGAGCCTGATGTGGTAACGGCAGGTGAGGATGAGGTGGAGGAAGAAGTGGAGGAGGAGGAGGTTGCGGGGGAAGAGCAGGGGTTACGGGCGACGATGGCAGGGGAAGAGGATGGGCGCTGAGTCAAGCCCTGAGCTGTGATCTTGTAGGACAGATACACGGATGCTCCCCTGGCAGATAATAGGGAGATAGGAGTATGGTATGAGGGGGTAGAGAGTAAGTTTGGATGGGACGCCCTGGTAATGCAACAGGTAGGGCTTATGTGTGGAAAGGATATACGTTTACAAAAAGCTAGATGTGGTACCGGTATTGCTTTTGTGCCAATGTTTCTGTATTGAGGAAAATTGGTGTACCTGCGGAGAATGCTGATGTCAGCTGTGCCGTCGACATTGGCTCCGATGATGTCAGCACCAACGTGGGCATTGAGTGCAGCACACGTGGTCAGGCCCCCCTGGAGAGATGCTGCAGAAGGAGTGGGAGTGAGAGGAGAGGGAACGTGAACACCTGTCACATTCTAACAAAAAAAGGACCTGCACATGCCGACTGCACTTGCATCTTACAGGGAGAATGTGTGTAGTGTAGTTGGATAAAAAAAATGGAGGATGCACAGGCAGAGCGTGCCGAGAAGGGGAAAATCTCTACTGTAGCTTACCCAGAACCTTGGAGCGCACGCCAAGACCAGCACGAGCAGCGCGGGCAGAAGAGGGGAGAAGAGCTGCAAAGGGGGCACAAAAAGGTGGAGGCATCATGAGGGAGGGGAGCTCAAGCCATTTGGGATAACGCGAACGCAACGATAGGGCTTTAAGCGCATAATAGAAATTATGTACTCAGCACGTTGCTCAACACAGCCCGATTTGGCTGGGAGGGATGCGTGAGGAAGCAGCAAAATGGATGGAGGTGATTTTCAGGATCTGTTTCCTCACCTCCCAGGGCAACAGCGAAGAGGACTGCGAACGCAGCGCGAGGGAAAAAAGAAGCCATCGCGAAGAGCTTGCTTTGGGCGTTCCGCTACGATTGAGGAGGAATGGAAGTCTGGAATCTCTAGTTGGGCTTGAAAGCAGCGAACGTTGGCAGAGAGCAGTGATAGTGGGAGCGCTGGAAGTTGCGATGCTGAGGATGAGGAGAAATTTGCATTTTATCTCACCATTTGCTACGGACCGCGCATTGGACTCGCATCGCGACGTGTCCGAGTGGGGCGGTGGTGGGTTCAGTTTGGTTGGCTGGGTGGGTCCAGTTTGGGCTGGCTGTACTGTAGGGCAGGCAATGTTGACTGTCGTTGACATTGTAATTTGGCAATGCTAGAGTAGGGCAGGCAGAATGGGGAATGTGGACGACCATTTGAAATCAGTCAACAGCGTTATCGCGTATGCCTGGTGCGTTATGCACAACTAGGCGGACATCTTATCTTTCCTGGGTGTTCACAGGTTGAATATTTAGGAAAAGGGAGACAGAGAGAGAACACAAATCGAGGACTTAACTATGGTAGAGTCCACCTTATTCTATGCAGACTTCATTCTGCAGAATGCACGAGTGCATTTATTGTGGGATTTATGAAACCCACTTTGGATCACTTGGTGCCTTTTCCCATCAGCATTCTTCAACTCGCGGTGGTCTTAGCAATGGTCTCAATACCTCCTTCGCAGTTACCGCCCACCACAAACAGCCCATCTGCCCTTTGTTGGTATGTGGTGGAGGTGACGTCTGCAGGGTCTGCTGGCTCGCATGGGCTCTGCTCCTTCCTCCAAAGCTTGCATCGGCCTGGGATAGGAAGGAGTGGATGGAAATGATAAAACCACAAATAAATGAGCTGACCTCGCAAGAAGGAACTCCTGCAGAATCACGGTATTGGACCCCTATCTCCTCATGTACCGATAACAATCCACCATCCTTATTCGCTTCTTCCCAATGCCCCAATGTCCGCCCTTCCGCCATTCCCTACCTTGGATCGCCTGCATCTCGAACATCCAGAACGCGCAGTGCTCAGTGCGGCGGCAGATGCGCCAGCACTCGAACGGCTGGTTGGTGTAGGGCGTCACCATCACCGCCTGATGGCCCTTCTCCGGGCGGTCAAAGAAGAACCCCGTGCGCGGCCAGTTGCAGCGGAAATCAGGACACTGGGCCGTGGGGCCTGGTGTGAAGAGAGTGGGGGATAGTCACGAGGAAGGTGGGACAGTGTTGGGGCTCCTGGCGGCCCTTGCCTGGGCGTTCAAAGAAGAGCCCCGTGTGCGGCCAGTTGCAGCGAAAGTCGGGACACTGTGCCGTGGGACCTGGCGAGTGGGAGATAGTGGGAGAGAAAGTGGGCAGCGATGCATGAAGGTCTTGGTGAGGGTGGTCAAAGAAGAGCCCCGTGCGTGGCCAGTTGCAGCGGAAATCAGGGCACTGCGCTGTGGGCCCTGGTGTGAGGAGAGTTGGGGATAGTCAACAATGGGAGACATAGTGATAAGCAGGGCTGGGACGTCAGAGGCCATAGAACAAGCCCGTGCGCGGCCAGTTCCAGCAAAAATCAGGGCGCTGGGCAGTGGGGCCTGGTGTGGTGAGAATGGGGGACAGTGGGACAAAATCACAAGAAAAGTGGACAGCGAAGTAAGAGGCGGTGAAAGGAAAACGAGGAAGAGACGGAATGGGGAAGAGAAGGAGGGGAGGCACGGTAACCCTGCTGCTGATACTGCGCCCGCAGCATGGCAATACTGCTTCTGTGTGTCCTGACCCTTGAGTCCTGCGGGTGCTCTGAGAAAACTCTGATCCTGCCACTTGATTATCTGCTATCCCTTCACCGCATCCCATCCTTTGGTCCAAGGCCCTACCTTGCTGCCGCTACAGCGCGTCCTCCTCTCCCACCACTCCCGCTGATTTCTGAGTCACACTCAAAACTCATCCCGTCACCGCGGCATCACATATATTGCTCCAAGGCCCTACCTTGCTGCCGCTCCAGAGCATCCGCAACTCCCGCCACTCCCGCTGCGGATGCTGTCAGCGCCACTCCCCCATCCGCTCCCCGGACTGCCCTGTCTGGCGCAGCCTGCGCCGATACCGCAGCAGAACCGTTCTCCCCTCCAGCATTCCGCGGTCCGCGCGCATTTACCGGCTCAGTTGAGCCATCCGTCCCTGCAACGACAAACCCCGGAACTGCCAGGTCCGACTGCTTCTGTCCGCGCAACCGCACCGCAACTGCCGCCTCCACAAGCTGCGGCTCCCCCTCTTCCCCTGATTGCACCGAGAGTCCGCCGGCCATTGCGGGGGAGATTTCAAGCGACCGGGGGTCCGAACCCTGAACAGGTGCCTCCGCCGTCACGCCCACCGCAACATTAACATCGAGGATTTCTCCGCCATTCGCAGAGCTCTCGCCGCCGAGTAGGCCCCCCTGTGTCGGCGAGGCTGTCGCACGGCTTGGGGTCGCAGATGCCGTCGCCGAGTCGTCGGCGATTGCGATTTTGACGGTTTTGCGAGAATTGCAATTCCCGCCAAACCCAAAGAACCCCTCGATTCGCGGGGTCGGATCGTACATGACGTCACCGAATGCACCGGGGCGGCAAGGGCTCTGCTCTGCCGTCCACATTTTACAGTAGGCTGCGGAGGACGTCAGAAAATGATTGGGCAAGCAACGGGGGTAGTGACCAGGAAATAAGCAAGTGAGCAAGGGGCACTTCGTAAATGAAAAAAATAAAATGACGGAATCGAGATTCATGATAGGCTGTAGGAAGCGTCAGACAATGATTTGGGGAGTAACGGGGGTAGTGATGAGGAATGCCGCGGAGAGAGTGAGTAAGGAGCGCTTCGTAAATATCCAATCAGAAAGCGGAATCAATACACAAAAAAAAGGGTGGCATGAAAGCCCGACGGTGACCATTAGTACACCGATCAACAGCGCAGATCTTGTTGCATGCAGGAAATGTGGTTGCGTGACGCAAGATGCACACGAAATGGATGAGCAAACATGAAACTCAGCGTACATCCGGTTGACACGAGACCGAACAGCCACACGTCGCAGCCGGGCGTCGAGGCGCATATCTCGCTGCATTTGGCTGACGTGCGAACGGGCCCCGTGAGCTCCACGTCATTGAGATTGCCGCGATTCGGGTGGTTCCAAAGCACGCCTCGCTGTGTAACGTCGCAATGTAACGGAGGGCATGCGACGGTCGTTGGCGAGCTCGCCGAGTACGCGTTCGCGGTTCTGGCGACTAATATCCCAAACAGAGATAGTGCTAACGCTACGGTCATACCGGCCGTCATTCCAACGCGGCGGCGGTAATTAAATAGATCCATGAACCTATTACTAAAACGGGCGTAGTTACGATACTGACTAGGGTGTGACAGAATTACTGCGACGATATAAGAGCACGGAGTTCAGCGTGAGATAAATAAGCTTTTCCTGAATTGTACCGAGATTCCGTTGCACTCGAAGACTACTCTGTTACTACTAGTAAAACTAAGTAAATATAGACCCTTGGCTGGAATCATCTGCTTCGCGCATGAGGGAAGTGTGGCGTGCCTGGCAGGAAGCACTACTACTAAGCGGCTCGTTCGAGCGCCTTCATGGACAGTGAAGATGAATTGTAACCATCTACGAAGGGTCACGATTGCGTCGATGATTGGAGTGTGGTTCCATTCGGGTTTCGCGTTGAGATGGTCCTAACAACGCCGGAATTGACGGTCAGAGATGTGTTTTGATGAACCAGGTTTGGGTGAGGGGAACGAACCGCGAATCAATATGACGTGGATGATCGCTGGATCCACAGGCGGAGATTGCCAAAGCTTGAGGGTCCACGTGTTCACTTGAGTGGATCCATACCGCGCCTGTGTTCCTCCCAGGTTCTTTCGCTATTGACGGTTTCTGCTTTTGTGATTTATCAAGACGTAGTGTACGTTGTGTTTGAGGCCCGCTATCACTGCCAACTGCAAACATCACATGAATATTTGCTTTAACAAGTAGCATTCTGTTCCTGGGCTGAAAGATATGGAAACCATATTCACAGCATTCAGAAAAAAGCACATACATTCAAATAGCTACCGTAGTTCCCATTGGTAGTAACACAAGCTAAATAACTTACAGGGGCATGCTAGCTAGTCAGTAGTCCAACCAGCATTTCCACAAGGAAGCACTCGTCCAAGGCTCTAGCATTTCAACTGGAGTCAGAGAAATCCTTATTTCAACCGCTAACCAATTTACCCGTTATCTTAAAACCCCTCGCCTCACTTTCCTCTCCACCCACCACCGTTACCACCACCCCCTTTGCGCCCGGGCGGCAGCGGCAACGGCATGGGCCCAGAGGGCCCTGCCTGTGTGGGAGGGGGAGGTGCATCTGGGGGAGGCTGCATCTGGCCCTGGGAGGAGGGGGAGGTGTTGGCAATGAGTGGGTCTGTGCTAGTAGCAGAGGTGACAGAAGTGAAGGTGTGGCCTGGTGTGAGCTCTGCTGCTGCTGCTGCTAGCGCTGCCATGCGCCCCTTCCTGCCCTTGGCCTACAATGGATGGGGTAAGGAGCAGAAGGGGTTGGGAGAGGTGAGGGGACAAAAAGGCGGAAGAGAGTGAAGGAGTAGCCTGGTGTGAGTTCCTCTGCTGCTGCTGCTGCTGCTAGCGCTGCCATGCGCCCCTTCCTGCCCTTGGCCTGCAGGGGGTGGGGTGGGGTGAGGGCCAGAGGAGGATGGGGGAGGTGAATGGGGTAGGAGTGCGGACTGATGGGAGCTCTGCTGTTGCTGCAAGCGCTGCCATGCGCCCCAACACCCTGCAGGGGGTCGGGCCAGGGGCAGAAGGGGCTGGGGGCGGGGAAGGGAGAAGAGGTTGGGGTGAGAGTGTCGTGGAGAGAAGGGGGTATTGTTAGGGAAACCCGCTGTGACAATGCAATGAGAGTGCACTAATTAGTATTTAGCAGTTAAAGAAAGCTAAGGAGAGTGAAGAGACCTGACAGAATTGATGTCACTGTTTTAACTTGCACCTCTTAACACCCGCTTCTCCACGTACCCCTCTCTACACTCCTCACCCGTTACACTTCACGGCTCACCCACCCCTCTCCACTGACTCCTCTCCTCTCCACACCCCTGTCACCACTCACTCCTATCAACTCATTTCTCACCAATCTCCACTCCCCCATCTGCACTCACGTATGTTTACTCACCCCAGCGCTCCTGCTCTCAGCAATGTGGGATACTGCTGCACGATCTCGTCAGGGTACAAGTCCTCTCTCTCACACCTCACCTCTCCTCCACTCCCCCACATAAATTCTCCCCACATGCACTCCCCCACATGCACTCCCCCACATGCACTCCCTCATCCGCACTCACATATTGCTACTTACCCCAGCGCTCCCCTTGCTCTCAGCACTGTGGGGATACTGCTGCACGATCTCATCAGGGTACATGTCCTCACGGCTCCCCCGCTCCCCTCCTGACAAGGTGATTTTATAGCCGACGAAAGAATCATCTGTCACACACCCACTGCCTACCTCCCCTCCTCACCCCCCATCCGCACTCACATATGTCTACTCACCCCAGCGCTCTCCTTGCTCTCGGCACTGTGGGAGTACTGCTGCACAATCTCCTCAGGGTACATGACCTCTCGCTCAGACACCCCTTCCCTACCTTCCCTCGTCTCCCGCCATGCGCACTCACTTAGGTTGACTCACCCCAGCGCTCCCCTTGCTCTCGGCACTGTGCGGATACTGCTGCACAATCTCCTCAGGGTACATGTCCTCTCGACTCCCCATCTCCCCTCCTGAAAACTCCGCACTCTCCCGCAACCCGGCAGCCGACTCGTCGTCTGTGGCCTCCACCTCCACATCGCCTCGCCCCTCTATCATCGCCACCACCTGGTGGGGGGGGGGGGGGGGGGGGAGGGGGTGGGGTTGGTGGCACATGGGGCACACAAGGATATTAAGTAGTAATTTCTGAGCCGACTCTACATTCCCCCGACCTTCTATCATAACCTCTACTACAGACTTTCGTACAGACTTCAGAATGTGCTACAGCCTGTGGGACATCCCTATTACAGCATGCGTCCCACTCACCTGGCTCATGCGGGGGCGCAGCACAGCGGACTGGCGCACACAGAGTGCAGCAGCAGTGACTAGCCGCTCCATCTCCCGCTGCCCGTAGCACCCATCCAGCTCTGGGTCTGCCAGTTCCTCCATTGCCCGATCCACTAGCAGGGGGCGCGCCTGGCGATGGGTGGGGAAGGGGAAGGGGGGATTGAGAGAGAGGAGAGAGAGAAGCAGTCCGTCTCTTCCACTCCATCTCCTCTGCCCATAGCACCCGTCCAACTCCAGGTCTACCAGTTCCTCCATTGCCCGATCCGCCAGCAGGGCCGCGCCTGGGGCAAACAGGGAGAAAGAGGGAGGAAGCAAATCTGAGAGAGAGGGGACTTTAGAGTCGACTCAAAAGAGAGAGGAAGCAAATTTGAGAGAGAGGGAGAGTGAGTGCAGCTGCAGTGACTAGCCGCTCCATCTCCCGCTGCCCGAAGCACCCGTCCAGCTGAGAGTCTGCCAGTTCCTCCATTGCCCGATCCGCTAGCAGGGGGCGCGCCTGGCGATGGGGTGGGGAAGAGGGGATTGAGAGAAAGAGGGCAGAGTATAAGAAGGGCTATCCGTATCACCCTTTTTCTCCCCCTCAATCTGCCTCTGCCTGCAGCACCTGTCCAGCCCATATACAGGGAGGACAAGGGGGAAAGGCGCAGTGATAAAAGTGTTGTTTTGAGACGTCTCAAACCAGCCCCTATACAGGGAAGACAAGGGGGAAAGGCACAGTGATAGAAGTGTTGTTTTGAGACGTCTCAAACCAGCCCCTACACAGGGAGGACAAGGGGGAAAGGTACAGTGATAAAAGTGTTGTTTTGAGACGTCTCAAACCAGCCCCTACACAGGGAGGACAAGGGGGAAAGGTACAGTGATAAAAGTGTTGTTTTGAGACGTCTCAAACCAGCCCCTACACAGGGAGGACAAGGGGGAAAGGCACAGTGATAAAAGTGTTGTTTTGAGACGTCTCAAACCAGCCCCTACACAGGGAGGACAAGGGGGAAAGGCACAGTGATAAAAGTGTTGTTGTGAGACGTCTCAAACCAGCCCCTACACAGGGAGGACAAGGGGGAAAGGCACAGTGATAAAAGTGTTGTTTTGAGACGTCTCAAACCAGCCCCTACACAGGGAGGACAAGGGGGAAAGGCACAGGCCCTCAGTCTGTGCCAATATGGCACGAGGGGCCGAGGCATGGAATGGAAGCCTGTCCTCGCTATAAGCTGACTCACCCATTCCACGAGGCTGTCGCTGCCCTGCGGCTTCTCCTGCTCCACGGGCCTCTTCCCCGTTATAAGCTCCAGCAGCACCACTCCAAACGAAAACACGTCCGATTTCTCCGTCAGCTTGCCTGTCAATGCATACTCTGGCGCCAGGTACCTGGGTTTGGGTGATCACACAAGGAGGATTAGGGACAGAGGGACGGAAAATGACATCGGAGAATGCTCAGTCAGCTTGCCTGTCAATGCATACTCTGGCGCCAGGTACCTGGGTGGGGGTGATCACACAAAGAGGTTCAAGCAGGCACAGAGGAAGGGAAAGTGACATCTGAGAATTCTCATAAGCGTGCCTGTCAAAGAGTTCTCTGGCGCCCAAGTACCTGAGAGTCACCAGAGACAGAGGTTCAGGGACAGGGTGAAATAGGGCAGGTGAATTATGCAAGAGCGAACTAAGGCAGGCAGGGTGATCAGAAAGAAAAGAGGGAACGAAAGGGAAGTGGTGCGGGAATGGGCCTAGGTGGAGGGTCAGGAAAACGAGTGCATTGTAGCTTGAGAAGTGGGGGCGTAGGGCGGGTCAGAACGACTGGGAGCAGATAGGTGTTCAGAAAGGAGTTGGGAGGAATGTGGGGGATGGGAAATGGGAGAAGGGAGAGGGAGGTGAGAGGGGGTGGGGGGTGTGGAGGGTTGTTAGGTAAGGGGTAGTGGGAAAGTGCCAAGAAGATCAGATGAATGACTCACTCACCCGAAAGTGCCAACTACACGTGTGATGATTGGCATGGCGTCCTCTGCTGCCAGCCTGGCAGCACCAAAATCCGCCACCTGGCAGCAAGGGATTGGACAGACATGAAGGGATGTCATTAAATAAAATCCGCTCCAAATGCTCATGACACATGCATGTAATGTAATCACACTTGCATGTAATCACACTTGCATGTTACCACACTTGCATGTAATCACACTTGCATGTTATCACACTTGCATGTAATCACACTTGCATGTTATGACACATATACGTTATGTCTTACATCATGTTACAATGCACGTCATTGCTGATGCCTATGCTGTTTCATGGCGTTCAACCGTGGGTGGGGGTCCTATCCTTCATGACGCTTATGTGTCCCATTCGTTGGCATCTTCCGTGTGGGTCCCATTCGTTGGCATCTTCCGTGTGTGTCCCATTCGTTGGCATCTTCCGTGTGTGTCCCATTCGTTGGCATCTTCCGTGTGGGTCCCATTCGTTGGCATCTTCCGTGTGTGTCCCATTCGTTGGCATCTTCCGTGTGTGTCCCATTCGTTGGCATCTTCCGTGTGTGTCCCATTCGTTGGCATCTTCCGTGTGTGTCCCATTCGTTGGCATCTTCCGTGTGTGTCCCATTCGTTGGCATCTTCCGTGTGTGTCCCATTCGTTGGCATCTTCCGTGTGTGTCCCATTCGTTGGCATCTTCCGTGTGTGTCCCATTCGTTGGCATCTTCCGTGTGTGTCCCATTCGTTGGCATCTTCCGTGTGTGTCCCATTCGTTGGCATCTTCCGTGTGTGTCCCATTCGTTGGCATCTTCCGTGTGTGTCCCATTCGTTGGCATCTTCCGTGTGTGTCCCATTCGTTGGCATCTTCCGTGTGTGTCCCATTCGTTGGCATCTTCCGTGTGTGTCCCATTCGTTGGCATCTTCCGTGTGTGTCCCATTCGTTGGCATCTTCCGTGTGTGTCCCATTCGTTGGCATCTTCCGTGTGTGTCCCATTCGTTGGCATCTTCCGTGTGTGTCCCATTCGTTGGCATCTTCCGTGTGTGTCCCATTCGTTGGCATCTTCCGTGTGTGTCCCATTCGTTGGCATCTTCCGTGTGTGTCCCATTCGTTGGCATCTTCCGTGTGTGTCCCATTCGTTGGCATCTTCCGTGTGGGTCCCATTCGTTGGCATCTTCCGTGTGTGTCCCATTCGTTGGCATCTTCCGTGTGGGTCCCATTCGTTGGCATCTTCCGTGTGTGTCCCATTCGTTGGCATCTTCCGTGTGGGTCCCATTCGTTGGCATCTTCCGTGTGTGTCCCATTCGTTGGCATCTTCCGTGTGTGTCCCATTCGTTGGCATCTTCCGTGTGTGTCCCATTCGTTGGCATCTTCCATGTGTGTCCCATTCGTTGGCATCTTCCGTGTGTGTCCCATTCGTTGGCATCTTCCGTGTGTGTCCCATTCGTTGGCATCTTCCGTGTGTGTCCCATTCGTTGGCATCTTCCGTGTGTGTCCCATTCGTTGGCATCTTCCGTGTGTGTCCCATTCGTTGGCATCTTCCGTGTGTGTCCCATTCGTTGGCATCTTCCGTGTGTGTCCCATTCGTTGGCATCTTCCGTGTGTGTCCCATTCGTTGGCATCTTCCGTGTGTGTCCCATTCGTTGGCATCTTCCGAGTGTGTGCATTCGTTGGCATCTTCCGTGTGTGTGCATTCGTCTCAGCACTGCCTACCTTGCCATCACAGCCCCACCTTGCCGTCACAGCCCCACCTTGCCGTCACAGCCCAACTACACTATACGCGCTCAGGCAAACCCACCTTGGCCTCGTAGTCCTTATCGAGGAGGATGTTGGACGACTTGATGTCCCGGTGGATGATGCGCGGGTTGCCTGGGGGCAGCAGGGGAGGGTAGGGGAGAATGGAGGGAAGAGGTGGGGGGGTGAGCTTTGAGTCGACTCGAGTATGTTGGACGACTTGATGTCCCGGTGGATGATGCGCGGGTTGCCTGTCGACGCCAGGGGAAATGGGGGATGAAAGTTGGGGAGGAGAGGGGGGAAGGGATGCGGTTGGGGAGGGGAGGGGGGAAGGGATGCGGTTAGGGAGGGGAGGGGGGAATGGATGCGGTTGGGGAGGGGAGGGGGGAAGGTGGTAAGGGGGCGGGCAAGGGGAAAGGGGCAGATGGGCGGGAGGGAGGCGTTTCTTGAAGCATGAGGTGCAATGCAAATGCAAAAGGGAATTTGTCAACGTAGTGGTGGGAAAAACGGAGGCGCGGAGGGGAAAGGGGCAATAGGTGTGCTGATAAAAGAGGCGAGCAGGGGAAGAGGGAGAGCGTGAGAGGCGGCGGGGTTTTGGTAGAGAAACGAGCAAAAGAACGATGAGAGAGGGGAGGATAAGCGAGAGAGACGGAGGGGAGGGGAGTTGGGGCACTGAGAGCGGAGCGACTCACATTCCTCGTGCAGGTAAGCGAGGCCCTTGGCGGCGCCCAGAGCGATCTTCATGCGAAAATTCCACGCCAGCAGGCGACGGCCCTCGCCTGGGGAGAGGGCAGACGAACAGGTTTCGTTGGGAATGCGGGAAGAAACAGAATGAGAGATGCAGTAGGGGGTGAGAGGGAGCGCCTGAGTATAACATCCTTCCAGGTTTCCAGCCATCATAGGGTTACCAGATAGCATGCGTTAACCGAACAACATGCGTTATAAAACTACACATGGTAAGCAACCATTCCTTAATTCACCGTGCAGGCGTCCTCAAGCGACCTGTAAGCCACGAGCTCGTACACCACAAAGCGCTGCTCGTGGTAGCGCTGCAACACTTCTCTAGAATATTCAAGCATATAGTTACAAGGTAACCCCCACTCACTCACCATGCAAGGCGCCTTCCAGCTATCATCAGGCACAAGCTCGTACACCAGCAGCCACTGCTTGCTAGCGATGCAATACCCATCCTAAGTGACGAAACAGAATAGGGTTACCAAGTAACTCCTCGTCTATCACTCACCATGCAAGGCGTCTTCCAGCGATCCATTGGGCACGAGCTCGTACACCAACAGCCTTTGCGCGCTGGCGATGCAGTAGCCCAGGTGCGTCACCAGGTGCTTGTGCTGCACGCGGCTGATTATATCCACCTCCGCGCGGAACTCGCGCTCCCCCTGGTGTCCCCCCACCTTCAGCACCTTCACCGCCACGGGCATTCCGTCCGCCAATATGCCCCGGTACACAGGCCCAAACCCGCCCTCCCCAAGCTTGTTGCTGTCTGAGAATCCGTCTGTGGCTTCTTCGAGTTCCTCGTAAGGGAACCACCACTCGTCGTCTGCTTCTTCGCTCATCCTGTCGCCGTCCCCCAGCGCGACGGCGGCTGCCGCGCCGCCCGCCACGGCTGCTGCGCCGGCCACGATCCCCGCGCCGGCGGCTGCGCCAGCGATTGCGCCCGCGCCGCCTGCTCCCCCTCCTGAGTCCTCTCCCAAATAAGGGCCGCCGCTGTCGTCACCAGCCCCGTATAGGTCTTCATCGTCCTCTTCCCCTTCCACTTCCGCTTCCCCTTCCGCTTCCCCTTTAACTTCCCGGTCGCCCTCCCCTTCCTCATAAAGATCCTCGTCTCCTTCCTCCCCTTCTCCCGCCGCCCCGCCCTCGTCTTCGTAATACTCCTCTTCCTCCTCGCCAGCAGCAGGCGCGCCGTCGCCATACGCGTTATTGCCCTCCTCGCTGTCCTCGTCCTCGCCAGGCCCGCCACCTGCAGCCGCCGCCGCCGCTGCCGCTCCGCCGGCAGCCGCGCCGGCCGCTACCCCGGCCGCAGCCGCAGCTGCCGCCTGCCGCCCGCGCACCCCGCGGACCAGATGCGGCTGCGCGTAAAACGGCGCCTTCTCCGCGCCGCCCACGGTCCCTGGGGCCGCGCTGCCGCCGCCGCCGCCGCGGGTGCGCGTTCGTTCGCCCTCTTTTTTTTTCGGCACGAGGAAGAAGAAGGCGAGGAGGCCGCACGTGACGAGGAAAATCAGCCCCACGGCGCCGCCGACCGCAATGCCTATGATCGCCCCCATCGATAGCCCCGACGATTCGGGCGGAGGCGGCGGAAGGACGAACGGCGGGGAAGGCGGAGGAAATGGGGATGGTAGCAAAGGGGGAGGGAAGGGAGTGACCGGGGGCGGGAACGGGGTTGGGGCGGGCGGAAGGACCGGGGGAGGAGGACTTATGTCGGGGGGAGGGGAAGGTATCAGAGGGGGAGGGGCAGGAGGACTGGGAGGGGGCCGGAGCGGCGCGGGCGGCGGGACAGGTGGCGGGTTGGGGGGACGTGGTGGCGGGTTCGGGGGAGTCAATGGCGGCTTCGGGGGGCGTGGCGGGGGGTTGGGGGGACTAGCCGGTGGCTTCGGGGGCTGAGGAGGCGGCTTCGGGGGGGTCAACGGCGGGCGTGGAGGGGGATTGGGGGGGCGAGGTGGGGGAGGAGAAGGCGCGGGAGGAGGTGGGCGTGGAGAGGGGGGAGGCCGAGGAGGAGGATAGATAGGTGGCTTAGGAGGCGGGTTAGTGGGAGGCTTCGGCGGCCTAGGAGGCGGGAAAACAGGCGGCTTAGGAGGCGGGTTAACGGGCGGCTTAGGAGGCGGGTTAACGGGCGGCTTAGGAGGCGGGTTAACGGGCGGCTTCGGAGGCGGGTTAGCCGGTGGCGGTGGGCTTTTCGCAGGCGGAGGTGGGGCAGCGACAGGGGGTGGGAACGTGGTAGGCGGAGGGTTGATAGGAGGCACGTTGATTGGCGGTCGGGACGGGGCCGGGGGAAACGGGAACACGGGCCCGGTAGGGCGGTTCGGTGCGGGTGGGAAGTTGAAGAGGGGAGGAGGGTCAACGGGAATGATGGGACCGGTAGGGCGGTTCGCCGCGGGAGGAATGGGAATGGGGAAAGGAAACTGCTGCGCTGTCGCGACGCCTGATCCGCGAAGACCCCCTGCAGCGTCTTGACCGGCGGGGTTACCTTGTGCGACAGATGTGACGTCGTACGGTATCGGTGGGTGGCGACGAGCGGAGCGATGCTCTGCGACCGTGACTTCTAACGACCGACCGGCGTCCGACGAAGACTGACTAGATATATCCGGTGCGGACCGCTTAAGAGGCTCATTGTTGGAGAGATGCCCCACTGATCGCGCTTCAGCTTCAGCATGCAGCATATTAGAACGCTTTCGTCTCGACGAGAAAGGTCTTTCGTTGTGAAAATGTCTGTGCGCTTCAAACCTGTAGTCCACCCCAATAGTAGCCTTCAGCTGCCGAGCCCGTATGCCAGACTTAGCAGCTCCGTTATTCCCATCAGCCCTCCGCCTCCTACGGCTACTGCTCAAATAAAGCGTCATTGTTCAACAGTGAGAAGGAATATGGAGAACGATGTCGCTACTCTCCGCCCGTTAACGCATTATTCGTCGGGATTGAGTTGCGGAAGGTCAAGTCCTGAGCTACTGAATAAGCTATGGGTTACCACTTGGAACGTATTTATGAAGCGATAGCGGTTCAATAAATACTAACGAAACATGTGTTACCCTAAATACTAAGATAGCACGACGATCAGCTCATCGCGGCCGTCTTCTTTCAACCTGAGCATGTAACAACATAATGGGATCGGTGGAATGCTCGGAGGCTCCTAGCCAAGCACAGCCATGTTTGTTGGAGTATGGCTTCCAAGTTAATAAAGCCGTTGTCGTATCATAGCAGAACCACAAGTAGAAGCTTAGCGGCTGCAGAGGGAATGTCTGTGCTTACCCTTCCGCCTATTCCCCACTGCTTCAGCCCTTTTCCTCGCTGTCTTCCGTGCAGAGGGAAATGCGGAATTGAGGAAGGAAGGGAAAGGAGGGAACGAAGCTGATTCGTGCAGCGGCAAATTGCATAACATCCCAAGGTCTTCTCATTAAGTGATACTATCGAGAGAAGTTCTTGGAGCCGCAGAATATCTTGGTATTGGCTGTCGATTTTGAATCACAGAGAAAGCATCCACGTACCGACCCGTCCTTAGCGGGGGGAGCCGTCTTACTCTGACGAGATTCCTTACTTTATTCCTGCTAACGTATACTGAATATAGAAATCTCGTGTACACATAGAAGGTTAGTCTTACTTTGCAACAATTTGCTTCTTACGAGGATCATGGGTTTGGCTGGCACCAGCCTCATGTCAACGTCGGTTTGGGATTACAGCAGCAACCATACGTAACCCTTCGACCTGCTGACGAAGGGGAAGTGGATTCGCTGCAGTGCTGTCATGGCTACTCTCGCACACCTTCGACATTTTTCGCAAACGCCGTCGAACCTGCTAGAGTTCACTGTTCGCGCGACCCAGCGACGGATTTGTACGACCAAAAACATCGCCTGCGACTCCTTGTACGACGAACACCCACCACAACTTTGAACCTACGAGACTTCAGCCGACAGCTTGTTCGCTGAAACCCCTACACCCTGTTACTCGCTACACTGAACTGTGCCGAATGGGTGGAAAACCTTGTTATCTTCGGTTTACCTAGTTGAACCATACTGAAACGTAATTTAACCACCGTTAACCGTGCTTTTCCCATCTTGACTTCATTATAACCGATTTCACAATGACATCCGCGGGGTATGCAGGCGATTTTCTGAGTAGCTCATTAGCTGCTCCACTCTCCGTGAGCATACTAGACAACTAGTCTTCTATTCTTCGCAGCATATCTGTGTTTTGCTCCAGTTTTGTTGCTTCGACTCGAATGGCTTCAGCGGGTATGAGAACAAACGGCTATGTGATACTTCCTTGTCCTCAAAAGTGCCCAGCCACCCCAAACTCCGCACTTTCCTGCTTGGCTGCCATTTCCGGCGGAATTCGCGGCGGCTGCTCTCGGGCCTTAATCACCGTATGCTCGCGGCTGCCTGACGCCGATTCCGACACAGACTCAGAGTGTGACGTGATAGTTCCTAGCGACCTGTCAGAAGACCGAAGTACGTTCAGCGCGGAGCATAGCTGGGGAAACGAGGACCTGACGGTTGAGGAGGTGGAGGGAGCGCACCCAGTGCAAGAGCTAGAGGAAGTGAGGACCAATCAATGACCGCGGATGTTATTTTTTCCTCCAAGAGTTGCCTGGGGCAGTAAAAGCTAACGCATTTTTATACAAAATTGTTATTATACCTCTTACAACACGTGTACAGCAAATTTTGTTTGAACGTCTACTTATTCTATGTCCATCAAGGCCTTGGCAGATTCCTTTATCTGTTTGTGCGCCGCACGCTTTCCTATTTTAAGCTGGAGCTTCTTCTGCACCCGAAGTTGATATTTAGAAGCTTTCTTCTTCTTGGCCACACCAGACTTGGAATCAACCTGCCACCGATCAACAGGTAGTTAGGTAGTTACAAACCTCGAAAGGATAGCACAGGAAGGGGGGCTTTAGAAACTACTTGCTCCAAGGAAGCACACAACTAGCCTATCTATCTCTGCCTACCTTCATTTTCAAGGACTTCTCTTCCTTCTTCTTTTGCAGCTTTTCTTTCTGTTCCTTTTCTCCTGAAAGAAAGAAGGAAGCGCGTGTGCGAGATGGGGAGGAGAGGGGGATGTTAGAGAGAGATTTAGGGGGTTTTGGAGGAGCTAGGAGGCTGTCACGTTCTGAACGAGCACTTAGCCATTACAGAAAAGGACGGAGTCGCCGAGATGCTAACCCTCAGCTAACTATCGCCAAGCTGCGAAGGACGACGCTCGTGTTGTAAAAAAGGAATCCGAGCCTCGAGCGAACCTTGGCGCGCATTGACCTACGCACGGCCTGTCGACTCCTCGTTCTTACTCTGTTGATCGAACTCGAGCTGCCGCTTTCTCGTCTCTCTCGACTTCTTTGCCATCTGTTCTGTCGACACGCTGAGGAACAGCGCGAAAGCGGCTAGAGGTGGGTGTCAAGGTTTTGACTGCTAAAAAGCAGAACCGAGTGCAGAAGCTGGTGTCTGCTGTACTCGCTTCGTTGTATTGCACTGCCTGTACAAGCCTGACCTTGGCAGCGCAATATCTTATTCCAACTTGAAGTTCTACAGCCAGTGAGTGCTTGGATTGGGGGGGCTTGCATGTGTACGCGCTACATAGTATTGCGCAATGACAGGAGGGAAACTGCATACCATTGTTCTTCAAAGCTAACAATTGCGTAACACTTGTACAGGAGAATACCATGAAAGATGTGGGGACGTAGTGGCAACCTGTCCTGACTCTCCGAATAACGCAACCACATGAAAGCGTTTCATCTTGTTGGGGCGAAACCTGCCCGTTGTCTCCAAACCCTGATTTGACAGCTTTTCCCCACCCTGCTAAGGGCGTGTCTGACGTGAAAAGGGCGGATTGTGAAAAAAAAAATGCTGTACAGGTTTGACTGTATTTAGCTGCCCAGTTTCTTGAAATCACAACGTTCACACATGTCTTCATCCAAATGAAAACCAAGCGAATGCCGTACGGGTCCAGTGCAGTCCAGCATGCCTGCCCGTACGTACATGGTAGGACATAGGGCGCGTAACTTTTCCCGTTTCAGTCAAATGTCCGGACGGAGGCCCCAAACCGTCCGAACAGAGCTCCGTCCGGACGGTTGGGGATGTGGTACGGACAAAAAAGCGTCCGTACCCCTATTATGACACTTTTTTGTAGTTGCGACAACTGCATCTTGAGCGAAAAGGTTACGCCTGTAACCTATCTCGTCAGCAAATCGGCCGCTTCGCATGCATGCATTTGGACCAGAAAAAAACCAGACTATAGTGAGTTCCCTTTTTTTGGTGCTGTGGGGGTCTGTGTGCCCGTTCGGACGATTGTGGAACTTCTGTGTTGCCTTTCCCTCCCAATGTGGTTCTGGCGAGCGGGAAACCGAGTCGCCAGAACTGATGAAAATTGTGCTTCGCGCACCAATGACGTTGCAGGAGTTCCGGACGGTCCGAAATGCTGTCCGGACGACGCCAGGAGCGAAGAACGGACGATGAACCAGCAGAAAAGTGTCAGAACTCGTACGGACGATCGCGACGTCGCAAGGGGTCTTACGAACTTACTCACGAAGCTAGACGAAAAATGTAACCCTACAATAGTCCGTACGGCTCTCCGTCAGGAAGATGAAAAGTGAAAAAGTTACGCGCCCTTATCCGAGCAGCTTTCCCCCATCAGATTCACGTTTCAGGTGTTTCAGAACTGAGACCTGTGATGAAAAGCGACCGATCATCTCAGACTTCACGCGGATTCGCACAGCAGCAGCCCACGTCCCAAAATCACAGCACACCAATATCACGTCATTTCATTTCACACGCAGTTACAACTCTCAACAAATCAAAGCACAGGCCCACTTGGCAGCTGCCGAAGCGCGTGAGGGGCAAGACAAGACGTGAGAGGCAGTCTCAGAGCCAGCCAAGAAGATCAGAACTGAGAAACGAGAATCGAGGAAGAAAAATCGAGGTTCGGGAATTTGGGGGTGAGTGTGCAACCATGTCTCTCCCTCTCCGCTCTCATAGACTTCCCCTTCCCTTCCTACCCCGCTCCCGCCCTCTCCCCTTCCCCCTCCCCCCCCCCCCCCCACCATCCGCCTCCCCCTCTTCCTCCTTTCTCTGAAGTCCCCAGAGGTATCGCCTGTCTGCCGTGTCTCTCGACTCACAACACGACCTGGCAAGACTGGGATAACGGTGGGGTTACCCTTGGCTTCGAGCTTCGGTACAATGCGGTGCTCCTCCCGCCACAAGATGCTTCCAGATCGTGAGTCGTGTCGTGACCAAACGACCATCGGGTTCCACCTTGGGGACGACTGCCCATTGGCAGTGTTGCGCATAGCGACAATCTCCACGCACTACTGCAAGCGCGTTTCACGGCGGAGAAAATCTCCGCTTTACCTTGCCACACGATCCCAGATTTTACTACTAGTAGGCTCTCCTGATAATTTATTATTTTGTTAGTACTCTTTAAAGCGATAGATATTCGGTAATGGCTTGCACCTTTCGCCGACGCCGCGGCATTCGAACGGCACGGCACAACCACGTCATCCCTGGGCGGCCGAGTCCACCGTGGATTGCGGTTGCGATGATGCTTGTGCGGCTGCTACTACTAGCGTACTACACGCCATGCTCGGGGGAACTGGACGCGAATCCCGCGCCGCCCGCGCGGAAAGCCTCAGATACAGGGTTACTAAGTTCGTCCAGAAGTAACGGGCTTAGTGGAGGAAATACTGTTACAAGTAACGGTAGAACCGTGCGGAATATGAAAAGGCCTACTCTGCCTATTCCCCTCCGCCCTGTCGGGTGGCGGAACGCGAATCACGCTGCTCCAACGCCGCTCCTGCCTGTTTCACACGGGCAAGAAATTCCCGCTGGACTCCGCCACGTGGCCGCACCATCCGCCGGAGATCCCGAGGGCATCCGCGGCGTCGCGCGCGGCAACTGGGCGTCTAAGGGAATGATCGGCGCAAGGCGGTGGCAATGGCGGGCGGGAAAGAAAGACCTTTCAGCGGAAGCCACGGGGGAGGAGGAGGAGGACGGGGGAAATACGGCCGCGCGCACCGCACCTCGATCGTTGTCTCAAGCTGCTGCTGATTCGGGCGATACTAATACAGGCAGCAATATAGGCAGCAGCACTGTCGATAGTAGTAGCATCATCCAGATCGCAAAGCTCAAGAGGGGAATCGCGCGGCCCATTTCCGTCGCAAGTGGAGCCACTAAGACTCCCCTTTCCACCTCATCCACGTCAGTTTCTGCGTCATCCACGTCATCATCCGCGTCTGTGCCGACCCCCATTGGCATCAGCCCGCATTGGAGCACTTACTGTACGGATCGATGCGGTGTCATGTGGAAGCCAATCCGAGTGTACGTGGTGTGGTACGGTTACTTCTCCGAGTCGCAGAAGCAGCTCGTTCGTACGCTGACAAGGTCGTTCAGTCCGAGCGACGATCCATCCGTTACAGTTCCCCTCTGGTGGAACATCAACCGGCTGTACTACGATCAACAGGGGCGTTTCATCTCGTCGAATGTAACGTGGGTGAAGGAGAAAGATGACACGGGGTACTCCCGAGGGAAGTCCCTGTGGCTGGATGACGTGGAAGCAGTGGTTTCCACGGCCATTAATACGAGCGAGCTGCCTTATGACGAGGATGGAGTGTACTTCGTGCTCTCGGACCAATACGTGACCCAGGTTAGCGAAATGGTGTGTTTGTGTTTATACCCCTTCTCTTTCTTAATCTCGTCGTGTGTGCGTCCCCTGCCTCCTGGTCTCCTCCCTTCTTTCTTTGAAGTCTCTGAAGTTGCAACCTCTCCCCGTTTCTCGCCCTCCCTCTCCTCGCCTTTCGCCCTTCTCGGCCCTCAACGCCCCTCAACGCCCCTCAACCCCTCTCGTATGAAGAAGTGTTTTGAGACGTCTCAAAACCTTCCGGCTTTCTCGCCCCTCAACGCGCCGCAACCCCTCTCCCCTTAACCCCAGCAATGGAGCTCAACGGATAAGCTCTGCGCCACGTTCTAGGGGTTTCACTGCTTCGGTTGCTCCCTTCTTCCTTGAATATCTCACAGCATGCAGGTTTCCCCCCTCCCTCCCTCCCTCCCAATCCAACCCCCTTCCCCCGCAGCAATGGAGCTCGACAGACAAGCTCTGCGCCACGTTCTGCGGGTGGCATATCTTCGGCTCCTCTCTCCCGTTTCCCTTCATGATCTCTCACCATGCAGGTCCCCCCCTCGCCCATTCACACATGCCCCCTCCCCCCCTCCCCTTCCCCCAGCAATGGAGCTCAACGGACAAGTTCTGCGCTACGTTCTGCGGGTGGCATTTCTTCGGCTCCACGCCCCTTCACAACCCCCGCTCTTCCCCTCTTCCCCTCTTCCCTCCCCCTCTCTTCCCCTCATCCCTCCCCCCTCCCCTTCCCCGCAGCAATGGAGTTCAACGGACAAGTTCTGCGCCACGTTCTGCGGGTGGCATTTCTTCGGCACGGCGCCCTCCCGCGGCACCTTCATCTACTCCTGGGTCGGCCGTGCTGACCGCCTCGTACGTGCAGGTGGAGGGGGGAAGGGGAGGGAGGGGGGGGTTGTTGGGGGCTGTAGGGGGCATGGGTTGGGGGCATTCGGTTGAATGAATCCCACGGTGCCTTCATCTACGCCTGTTTCGGCCGTCCTTCCTGACCGCCTTGTGCGTGCGGGAGAGGGGGTATCGGGGGCTGGTGGAGTGGTGGGGGGGTGAGGGTTAGTGGGGTGGGGGAGGGGTGTTTCTCGCGCATCTGGTAGCTTCATCTACTCCTGAATCAGCCGTGCTGACAGCCTTGTGCGTGAAGAGGGGGGGGGGGAAGGGGAGGGGGTACTGGGGGCTGTCTAAGGGTGATGGGGGGATGTGTCCCAACTTGGTGGAGTGTCGTAGGGGGTATTGGGAGGACTTAGGGAAAACCTGGGGTTTCTGGGGACCTTGGGGTTGAGAAGGAGGGGAAGTGGCGCTTTGTGCTCATGGTGCTCATGGTGCTCATGGTGCTCATGGTGGTCATGGTGCTCATGGTGCTCATGATGCTCATGACGCTCATGATGCTCATGGTGGTCATGGTGCTCATGATGCTCATGATGCTCATGATGCTCGTGGTGCTCGTGGTGCTCGTGGTGCTCATGGTGCTCATGGTGCTCATGGTGCTCATGGTGCTCATGGTGCTCATGGTGCTCATGGTGCTCGTGGTGGTCGCCTCCTGTGTCGCTTGTCTCCCTCTGTGCCCTCTGTGCGCGCCCCTCCACCCGTCCAGTGCCCCACGTCGTGCATTGCAAGTGACATCCGCACGGCCAGCAAGGCACCCAACAAGGATGTGGGCATGGATGCGTTACTGTCGGTGTTCGCGCACGAACTGGCAGAGGCCGCCTCGTCGCCGTTCGTGGGAACGTGGTTCGATGAGCAGGGCGAGGAGAATGCGGACAAGTGCGCGTGGAAGTGAGTAGAGGGCGGTGGTGTGAGAGAGATGTATGGATGGTGGGGTGAATGGTGGGGATGGTGCTGAAACGAGATAGTGTGCGTAATTAATCAGAGTTTTAACGGCACCACGTGATCACGTGACCCTTGATCACGTCTTAAAGCCCTCCCTCTTCCTGTCCCTTGCATCGCAGGTTAACCCCATCCTCACGGGTTCCCCAGGAGGCAGATACAACCTGGTCGGAGTCAACAGAAGTCAACAAGAGTCAACGGCTCCAAGCTCCTCGTGCCCGCACCCCCCTCTCCCCACTTTTGCTTGCTTTTCCCCCTCTCCCTGTCCCTTCCCTTCCTGCATCCTGCGCGGCAGGTTCAACCCCATTCTCACCGACTCAACAGGAGGCAAGTACAACCTGGTGGGGGTCAACGGCTTTAAGTTCTTCATTCAGCACAACTGGGATCTCACCACTGGCACCTGCCAGCTCACCATGCCATACCCCCCCGCCCCTCCTCCTCCCCCCTCCCCTCCCTCCCCTCCTCCGCCTCCCTCCCCTCCTCCCTCGCCTCCCTCCCCCCCTCCACCGCCCTCTCCCCCTCCCTCACCCCCACCCCCTCCCCCACCTCCAAGCCCCCCACCTCCCTCTCCTCCTCCCCCCTCACCACCTCCTCCGTCTCCCCCTCCTCCCTCTCCACCCTCTCCCCCTCCCTCCCCTCCTCCTCCCCCCTCGCCCCCGTCGCCCCCACCTTCCCCCCCTCCCCCCCCCTCCATCCCCTCGCATGCGCACCCTTCGCCCTCCTCCGCGTCCCCCCAAGAGCATGGGGGAATACGTGCAACAGCTATTCAAGAAACTCTGGCCGAATCGCCCATGGTCAATCAAAGTTGTTCATGATTAAATGTTGTACAGTCTGTATGGTACACCACCTTAAGTGTTGTACAAAAAACACAAGTACCGTAATTGCCCATGTTGTGTTGTTGATAACTATCAGAATCTGGAAACAGGAATGAGAACAGAAGAGTGGGGGTTGTACTAGCATGCAGGTGGAGTACATATAGGAAACCCTAAAAGGGTTGTACTTTTTGTTGAGTACTCTACTACAGCCTACACATCACATTACATTCTGACACACCCTCAATAGGCAAAGTGGGGTATAGTCAACACAAAAAGCAGTCGCATGACTAGGTCATAAGCAAAGGCTAGTGGCAAAATTAGAGGGCAAGAGAGGAGGAGGGACTATGAGAGGAGAGGAGGTAGGAGGCGGCAGCTGAAGCTGCTGGCACACGGGCGACTAGAGCAAGTGGCACACAGGCTACCAGAGCAAGGGCATCCGGACTATTGGAGTAATTGGCTCCGCGGCTAGACGAGCGGCTGGAGCAACTGACCCACGGGCGACTGGAGCAACGGGCTCACGGGCTAGCGGAGCAAGGGCATCAGGACTACTCAAGCTGCAAATTGAGAAAGCTTGCTTTCTTGTCCTTATAATTTGGCATCGTTCTCATTGCAACTGGCTTATTACAACATATGCATCGTTCGTAAACACATGCTAGTACATGCAAATATTACTAGCTATGGAGTCGTCCGTCCAAGCAGCTGTGGTCTTGTAGTTGGTCCGGGGTGGGTGGTGGGGATGTTGATTGAGCCGTTGGAAAACGAGAAACGTGGGTGGAGGGAATGAACTCCAACCCACGGTTTTTGTAGTTGGAGAAGGGCGTTTAGCGCGCTTCGACGCTGCCAAATATTCGGTACAGTCAGCTTCGCTTTCACAATACACAATTTTGAAAAACATCAATGTGTTTAAAAATTATAATGCTTCATGACGGCTACCTCCTTTCAACCTCCCCCCATTGTCCCACACCCCCTTCTGCATCCCTAGCACCACTCCCTCAGCTCCCCCACACCCTCCCCCTCTCAGCGGCAGCTGCAGCAGTAGGAGAGAGAGGAGGAGGAGGACCAGCAGATTACTCATACCCGCCACCCCCATACCCTCCCCCTAACGGCTGCACGTGCAGCAGGGAGAGGAAGGAGAAGGGGGGGCGGGGAAGAAGCTGCCCCGCGGCAACAACGGGGCGGCGCGCAGGTGCCACGGGGCGGCGCGTGGGTGTACCGGGGCGGCGCGCGTGTGCAGCGGAGCGGCGCGCGGGTGCCATGGGGCGGCGCACGGGTGCCACAGGGCGGCGCACGGATGTAAGCAAACCGTCGCGCGCCCGGGGCGCGCGACTGAAAGAACAGCAGCGGAAGCGAACGGTGGGCCGATTGAGGAAGGCTCAAAGAAAGAGCCTGCTCTGAATACCATGTCAGAAACTAACGAGCAGGAATGAGAACAGAAGAGTGGGGGTTGTACTACTAGACAGGTGGAGTACATATAGGAAACCTTAAAAAGGTTGTACTCTTTGTTGAGTACCTCACTATAGGCTACACAACACATAACATTCTGTCAATAACATGTGAGGCCATGGGTAGCGCAACATAATATTAGCAAACAATCAGAAGCTGGTGAAATACTTGTTTAGGGATACGGATGGGACCAAGGCAAGCACTACATGGTCAGGTGATACCCTTACAACCATCCCTAACCCATACACCCTCCCCATCACCCTGTCCCGCCACCCTTTCAGTACCATACACGTCAAATCTCCGTTAACGATTGTTCAAAAGAAACTCTTTTTGCAACCAATGTCAAAAGTCCACTGGTGATCCCCGATTGATCATAGGGAAGGGTTACAGGCACGTTGGCAAGGGGGGTTAAGGACGCACTCACCTACTACACAAACAAGCTCTTTTATCCCAATGGTTGTGGCTGAGATTCTGACAACCAGTACAAGACAGCAATGTAAAACTTTTCTTTCTTTTTTTGTTATCCTCTCTTTTCTCTCAGAGCTCCACTCGACTCAACATGGATAAACGTAAGGCCAAGCTGGGTATACATGATACATGCAACGGCGGCAGGGGCAAAAACACTGCTGACTAGCCCTGCCGGTACAGACACGGGCACGCAGACAGCACCGGCAACAACCCCCTCCATTCACAACGATAGCCCCATCAGGCAGGGACAACCCTCCATCTATCCCGTCTAGCAGACCAGGACCCAGGTAGATGGGGGTTGTCATGCAATGCGATCCCCCCCACCCACCCCACCGCACGCACCCCCCCATTCCCCTCCCCCCCACACCCCTCATCGCTTCCCTCTCCCCCATATTTTTCTCCATATCTTTTCCAGATTTGATTGCGGCGGGGGGGATTTAGGCGGAGGGGGGGACTTGGGCGGCGGGGGAGGGGACGCCGGCGAAGGGTAGGGGAGAGTGGTGGCGCAGGTACCAGTGGTGAGGTCCCAATTCTGTTGAATGAGGAACTTAAAGCCGTTGACCCCCACCAGGTTGTACCTAACACCAGAGGCGTCAGTGAGAATGGGGGCGAACCTGCAGTGGAAGAGGCAGAGAGGGACAGAAAGAGTGGTGCGGGACTGGGCAACCTGTGAGGATGGGGGGAACCTGTGAGGATGGGGGGAACCTGTGAGGATGGGGAGGAACCTGTAAAAGAGGATTGCAAACCACGGGGGAAAGGGGTGGAAGCAAGTCTTTAGGATGCACCAAACATTCGTGAGAAACAGTTAAGCACGCACACAGATGAAGACAAAACAGCAAGGCTACTCACTCTCCCCAACCACCCCCTTTCCCCACTCACTGCCAGGAACATTTGTCGGCGTTCTCCTCACCGGCGACATCAAACCACGTGGCAATGAACGGGCTTGAAGTCGCCTCTGCCAGCGCATGTGCGAATACGATGCACCACAACGCACGTTCATGAAAAACAATCGACCACTCACACCTGCCAGTCACTCCCACCCGCCCACTCACTGCCACGAGCACTTGTCGGCGTTCTCCTGCCCACTCCCATCGAACCACGTGGCAATGAACGGGCTCGACGTGGCCTCTGCCAGCTCATGTGCGAATACCGACAGCAGCCCATCCATCCCCGCGTCCTGATTGGGCGGCACCGCCCCGCTGGCACGCAGTGTTCGCGTGATGCAAGACCTGGGGCATAATTTTGCAGCGTTACCGACCCAGGAGTACACTATGCTGCCGAAGCTGGAGGCTCGGCCGTGCCAGTGCCACCCGCAGAAGCTAGAGCAGAATGCTGGTTTGCTGCCGCCCGGCATATCCCACGCCTGGGATACGGTTTCATCCGAAAGCACGAAGTACACTCCGTCTTCGTTATAAGGAAGCTGATTGGAGGAGATTGCGTTGGTGATGAGGTTCCTGACGTCAGCATCGGAAAGAGCCTTGCCTCGGGAATAGTTTGCATCCTCGACCTCGCCACCCCATGTAACGGACTCGGAGATGTGGTTACCACTTGAGTCGTAGTACAGACGGTTGATGTTCCACCAGAGGGGAACTGCATGGAGCGAGGGCGAGGAGAGAAGAGCAAGGGGAAGGATGGGGGATTGGAAGAGGAAAGAGGGGCGAGAAGCGAGGGGAACAGGCTGGTTCAGGAACTAAGAAGAGAGCCTCAACCTCTTGCAATTCCTGTCATTGCTTGGTTACAACGAGGGGCCAACACCTGTCAGTGCTTGCAACGAGGGGACAGCACCTGTGACGGATGGGTCGGCGTTCGGGCTGAGCGACGCGGTGAACGCGCGGACCATCTGCTTCTGCGCTTCGGAGAACGCGCCGTACCACACGACGTACACGCTGATTGGCCGCTCCATCACCCCGCAGGCGCGCCCCATGCAACTCGCGCTCCAGTGCGGGGAGATTCCGATCGGCCCCTTCCTCCCCTTCCCCGCAGTCACCGCCTTTCTCCCGCCCCCCGTCGCCCCGCTGGTGCTCAGCGGGCCGACTGTGGCGGCGAGCGCGTGGCTTGCGGCGGCGGAGAAAGGGGCGGGGGGCGTCGTCGCGTCATTCGCGTCGCTGTACAGGCGGGATGGATTATGGTTCGGGAGGGGTATAGACGCGAATGGGGCGCATAATTTACGCAAAAAACTCGCTTTTCCAGCAAAAATTGTCACGAAATCTTGCAATAGTATATATCTAGTCCTGACTGCGGCGTACCCAGGGATGATTGTGATTATCCAGGCAAGCAAAGAAAAGCATTCAGTGTGATTATCTCTCAACCCAGGAATCGCCTGCGGCGCACCTGAGAATCGCGGCGATGCCGCTTGGAAAGGCGGTTGCGGCTGCGCCAGGGGTCGTCATGGTCGCGACCTTGGGATTACCGATGGGCGGCGTTCCCTGCTGGAGGCGAATCAGCGATCGCGATGCCCGCGTGCGACTGCCACGCGGCGACTCCTGCGACTCTGGGCGATTGGTCCTGATCGGTCGCAAGAACACTGGCTTATCGTCGCCGGAAAGCTCCTTCGCGCGAGCGTACGCCGACGCGAATCGCTCTCGGCCAAGCGGAGGAGCTTCCGCCTGAGGCGCTAAATGCCTGCGGGCCGGTGTATGGCTGCTAATTCGTTGGCTGGCGGTTAGCGGAGCGCGTGAGGCGGCAAGAAGCGCGGCGACGAACAGCCAGGTTGGTAGTACTAGAATATTGTGATGGCGGAAGGCGGAGATCGTTGGCTGGTGAGTCGAGCGGCGCCATGGAACAGCCATGGCGACTACGGTGTGCGCGGCGTTCTGCGGAGGCATTCGGAGTTCGATTAGAAGCAGAACGAAGCGCGACGAAAGAAACTGCTGCAGTCACAGCGGCAGCAGTGGCGCTTTTGGAGAGCGGCGGAGAGCTCACCACCACCACCATGCCCAAAGGTGCAGATTGCACTAGGGGTAGGTGCATATAGCTAAGCAAGGGACATGGTTCTCTTGCTGACCTAGATTTCCTCAACGCCTAAATCACGCCATCACTATGTCGACACTGTACAGACATACGCCAATCTGTCAAGCGTGGCTGTGGTTCCATCTTGGCTGCCAACAGAGCGACTGAGATGAGTTGGTTCTTTTGTGGTTGATGGTGCAGGAGCACGAAGGGAGGGACGGGGGTGTGTGTGTGTCGCGTCGCGATGGTCGTCGGTCGACTCGCAGAAGCTGGGCATGGACGGTCTGGGGGGGTGCGGCAAGTGAGAGAGGAGCAAATGTGTGGTGGAAAATGGGTTGCTCTTTTCTTCCACCTCCCTTCTATGATTCCACTCTCGAGCATTTTTGGTAGCGTTCAGTAAAAGCAAACTTTTTCACGCTACTCAGCTAAAACACGCGCAGCTCTTGGCGCTAGGCTCCTTGGAAGTGTACTTCCGCCTTCTTCGAAACCACCTTCGGCAAATTGACGGGAAGGGTGAGTACCCATCATTCCATAGTGCAGAGATATGAACCTGTGGTGCGGCGTGCGCTCCAATCAATTTTGGGTGAGGTTCCAGTTCAGTCGGGGCGGGGGAAGGCTGGGGGGGAGGGGGGGAGGGACAGTCAGTCATCAGTCAGTCAGCCAGGGAAGGGATTCCTCGAGTGTCGATCGACGGGACCCATAAGGGCGTGTCTCCGTTTTGACCCCGACGGTTCGAGCCGTGGACGGTCCGAAATGCGAGAAGGTTACCAAAGTCGCATAGTTTCGTGACTTAGTTCGTGAAAGTGTGTGCGACGTCGCCAACAACCGTCGCGTCACTTTTTACTCCTTTCAACGGTTCAGAATCTGAACCCTTGACAGTTCGGAAACCAAACGGACGGTGCAGCAGTACTAACTAGAGATTGGCGCGCGATTTTTTCAGAAAATATAAATAAGATTGGCTTACGAAAATTACTCGTGAATTGTGTAACGAACGACGCTACAGTGTCTCCAGCGAAACTACAGTACTTCGGGAAATTCAAAACACTGAAAAAGGTGACAGTCTTGCACTCAGACGGGGCAAAGTTCCGAATGGCAACTCGGACAGTCCGGTTTTCGCTATTCGGACCGTCGGGTACAAAAAAAGTGAACCGTCCGGAAAATTGCCAAAAACTAAATTAATAAAAGACACGCCATAACTACTGTACAGTACACGTACACTGTTGGCGCCAGGGGGAAAAAAAAGCCAGTTGTTGGGATGTCCTGCGTGGGATGGGCCATACTCCTTGCCTTCGCTCGGTTTGGCTGGCAGCAGTTTCGCAAATCTTTCGCATCCAGTGGATAAGGTGATGGGGCTAGGCATGGCCTGTCTTCATCATTGAGAACCGTTACACCCTGTTTCTCACTACTATAAACTGTGCCGAACTGGTGGAAAACCTAGTTACCTTCGATTTGTCTGATTGAACCATACCGAGACTTCATCTAACCACTGTTAACCGTGCTTTTCCCATCTTGACTTCACTAAAACCGGATTCACAATGGCGAGAAAGAGGGTGTAGCAGGATACAGACTGCAAGTCACTGTAGTAGTATGTGCACTCCATAACACCAACGGTCTCGACGATTACGAACAAACCACTCATCGCTTCATAATTGATGAAATTTGAAGTATCAGTAGCCTAATATGAAGAAACGAATCACTTCTCACAAAGGATACTTTGCACCAAGTCAACTTCCTTTTGTCCTCTTGATCACCTTTTTGCCCCCTGCCTGTTCGAGTCGAGAATCGAACGGCAGCTTTGCTCCCTTTCTCCAGTCGCGGAAAATCCACGGTGGCAACGACACCAGCACGCAGGCAGCAGCACTGGCAACTTCAAGGCTTGCTGTTGCGGCAAGCTCCAGGTTGATTCATCGGAATCTGAGATCTCTACTCGTCCGTCCATCGATCAAGCAGGGGAGATCCCATCCCAAGCTTGTGTTAGTTGCTATGGAGCCAAAGCATCACATCACTCTTCGAAAAGCAGCCTTTCCTATAAATCAACGGTCCCAGTAGTTCTAATCACTAAAGCAGCAGTTTCTCTCATTGCAGTAGTTCCTCTCATAGCGTGCGTCGTTAGGATCGATCACAGGCAGCCCAAATGGCAGCACATTGGCCCGCCGCTCTCATTCTGCTGCTCGCCATCGTCAGCGCGGACGTTACAACCAGCGCACCTGTCGCCAATTCAGCGATTTTTGATGTCTCTCCGGCGATTCAGCCTGCCGCCGTTCCTGCCGTACGAGACGCCGCCTTGACCGCCGCGAATATCGGTCGCAAGGGTGGCAGCGGCATTGCCGGCATTTCCGCAGCCGCCGCCGGCGGAAACGGCGGCGCGGTCTTCGTTGAGAGGAGCAACGCCGCGTGGCCGTTTGCATGGGGTCGCAATGCGAGCGACGGCAGCGGCGAAAGCTACGACGCGGGCGACGATACCAGAGATGTGATCAGCGAGTTTGGCGCCATGGCGTGTAGCGCTGCGGGCTTGCTTCGCTTCGAGCGTGCAGGTTCCGCCAGAACCGCTGCTTTAGGATTCGCCGATCAAGCTTACTTTTCCAATGAAAGTGCTGCAGCTGCTTCTGCTGCCAATGCTCCCACCAATGGCGATGCTGCTGGTAGTGGCAAGAGCGGCGGATACACGGAGCCGAAGGACCATCGGACGGAGCTGCGGTGGGACGTGTACAGCATCAGCGGCCTCATTCTCACAGCATGCGTGAGCCACTAACGCGTATGAGCCCCCTTGTGGGCGCGGTGCGACGTGATCGATATGCGATCGGATCTTCCCCTCTTTCCGGACCTCGTTTCCTGTCCAAATTCGTCCCTCAATTCTCCTTGCCTTTCCCCCACTCCCCCCGCTCGTGCACTCCCTCCTGCGTGCTTCTCCGATCCTCATTTTTAACCCCTACATCCTCTCCCGCAATTCTCCTCCTATCCTCCGCCATCTCCCGCCTCCTCCACCCCCTCTCCCCCCGCGGCAGTGCGCGCTGCTGGCGAACGCGGCGGGGATAGGCGGGGGGCCGTTCTACATGCCACTCTTCAACTCCTTCCTCGGCTTCACCGCCAACGCCGCCACCGGCCTCTCGCACACCATGGTCGCCTCCAGGTGCCGTGCTCCGCTATAGTCACACATCGTTATTGTCACACTATGGTATAGCCTCCAGGTGACGTATAGCGCTTATCGTTATAGTCACACAAGGTTCGCCTCCAGGTGCCATGTTCCGCATACAATGTACCTTCATTAGTCACGTCATGTCTGCATTATAGCGTCACGGTCACGCCCCGGTCGCCTTCAGTGCCGTGTTAAGACCTGCCTGCATCCACCCATCACTCTGCGCCATCCTCTGTCACCCACGCCACGCCCCAGTCAACCCCCTCCCCCCTCCCCCTCCCCCCTCCCCCTCCCCCTCCCCCTCCCCCTCCCCCTCCCCCTCCCCCTCCCCCTCCCCCTCCCCCCACACACAGTGGCGTGGCGAGCACGTTTTACGGGCTGATTCAGAGCAGCCCCGCGGACCCATCACAGCCGTTGATCGACCTGCGCCTGGCGCTCACCTTCACGCCCGCGCTGCTGCTGGGCGTCAGCTGCGGCGTGCTGCTCAACCCGCTCCTCCCGCCCTGGCTCCAGGTGCCGCCCTTCCCCTTGCTGCTTCTGCTGCTGCTGCTGCTACTGAAAGGTGCGGCCTGTGCTGCTGCCGCTGGTGCTAGGTGATGGGTGACAGGTGCTGCCCGCGCTGCTGCTGGGCGTCAGCTGCGGCGTGCTGCTCAACCCGCTCCTGCCGCCCTGGCTCCAGGTGCTGCCGAGTGCCATACAACAGGGAGATCAGTAATTCTGGCGTGGGCTATTTTTGCTCACAGAAACTGTTTTGTAGGGCTTGCTACCACAATGCACCCCTGGAACTGAATAAAGAAGAAATAGCCCATCGCTTGGCAAGGGTCTCCTGGTCGCGTCACACCTCAAGTCCCCGAACCTCTTCCCCTTCCCCTTCCCTTCTCCCCACTCCCACTCTCTCTCCCTTCTCTCTCCCCTCCGTTCCCTCCCTGGTCCACAGACATCCCTACTGGCGGTGCTGCTGGGGTACGTGGCGAGGGAGACAGGCATCAAGGCGAGCAAGGCGTGGGAAAAGGAGACCCAAGCCGCCACTGCCAGGCCTAACCAGCAGCAGCAGCACCCTTCCACCGCCTCCGCTTCCTCTATCAACACACCTCTTCTTTCACAGTCAGCAGCAGCAGCAGCACCTGCTCCCTCCTCTTCTGCCCCCTCCTCCTCCGTCCCCGCCCACGCCCCTTCCAAGCGGCGCTGGTTGGACCCGTCCAGTGGATCTGGGCGGCTGACTGACTTCGTGGCTCACACTGCCGCCCAGCTTCTGCCACTTGTGGGCCTTGGCGGTATGTGGTGGTGGGTGATGGGCAGGCGGCA